CCCCCCCCCCCCCCCCCCAAGTTTATCTAATTCCGACCACTTCGTTGGCTGCGAGCACACGAGCATCCATTTGCGCTGCGCTCATTGCACCCAGCTTTGTAAGCTCCCTGAACCTGCCTGCTTACTGCTAGATGCTACCGACAAGCACTGCTGCTGCTTGTGTGTTTGCTACAGATTGCTACAGGGACAGGATGCTTTAAATGCGACGACGCGGTGAGCTTTACGTAGGCGCGTTCTTGTCACCGGCAAAGCAGTTTCTGAGGGCTACGCGGTAAGTATGTCTGGTAAGTATGACTTCGACTAAGCGACAAGGACGAGGTCATGGAGGATGCCGAGCCCGCGGACCTGCACGTGCGCATCGAGAACGCCAACTACTCGGCCGAGCAGTGGCTGGAGAGCGAACCCCCGGAGCGCGCGGCGGCCTTCGAGGCGCTGGAGCAGATGCTGGCGCTGCAGAGCGAGCAGACAGACTGGACATTCAAGGTGTTCAAGTGCATCGTCAAGCTCGCTGTTGCCGTCGTCGCCGCTGCTCTTGGCCAGCGTCGCGTAGGGCGCGGCGGCCTTCGTAAAGCTGCTGTTCGAGCTGCGGCGCCACGACGAGGCCTGCGCCGCTAGGAGGAGCTGCTGGGTAACGCCAAGACGGCGAACAAGAAGCTTGTGTCCAGGAGCGCTAGTGCAGGAGGTATCGGTCTACGAGCACAAACGCACCCGGAATGGTGCGCAGAGCGAACAAGGTGTCGGACAAGAGTGACGTGGGCTTTGCGGGCTTGATGGGGTGGCAGTCGACACGCAGCGGCCGGTGGACCTGGCCCCGACGCGACCAGGCCAAGGTACTTGTAGCTGTATCTGCCAAGCAAGTACAATAGAAAGCGACGCAATTTTAATTTAATGCACAGTAGGGAGTTCTTTGGACGAGATTGTGTGGTATTTGTCCATTTATCTGACTTTCTTCTGCATACGTCTCTACTGTCCGCGGGAGCATGTGGCGTTGTTTGGACTTGGTCTCTAGCTTGTCGTAAACGGCACGATCTCGCGGGTACCAACGTCTAACAGACGCGGCCGAAACCAGAGCTGAAGCTAGCGGCACCGGCCCGGCAAATGCGCCTTACAATAATATTGTCCTGGTGTGTGTGTGGTAGCACCAGAGTCCCCAACGAGTGAGGTATCCGATATAGCGCGACCGCCCTCCCGATATATCGGATGCTACCCTCGTGCGCAGCTCGACCGAGGTTTAACAAGCTAAATCGTATCTCCACCTGGAGTCCCTCGGCTTTATCTCTGAGCTGCAAATTATATCCGACCCGATATATCCTACTTCTGAGCATCGGAATTGCCAAAAAATTTGCAAGGCACTATACTTCTGCTGCACGCCATCGTTGATGACCACAACACCAAGCATTTGACACTTGTGGATGGCGTGCATATTTGTACGCATTGTGCCGCTATATCGTAGGCATACTGACTACAGTAGCCCCCACCCCCACCCCACCACCATTTCATCATGACACCATGAAGTGTAGCTTGGCATCCTTGCCTCTAAACTTCTAGACCTCGTACGCTCAGGTTGCATGCTTGCCTGCCAACCTTGACCAACAATTCAGCCCAGCTGTGTTAAACGCAGAAGGCGAATGTGCACGCACACAACCGATCGTCCTGGTCGCGCAACAGATGATGGAATAAGCAGCGAGGCTTTGCCACGGCGAGTCATGAAACGTGCGCAGCACGTTATCGCTATTGACCTGTGAACGATCCCGTCTTTGTCCTGGTCTAGGGCTCGCTCCATACAAACTTCTAGACGATTGCACATCGAAGCCTTAGCAGAGCGCACGCGATCGCTGTTGACGACGTGGCCGGCACGTAATCGCCGATTGCTGAAAGTGTGAAAAATGTCTGAGCACTGAGTGACTGCAGACTCGCCACTCGCCGACTTGCCTCGCATACCTGAAGCTGCCTCCCCGTCCTCAATGGCTAGCACGTTCATGCCGCACCCCAATACTCTAAATCTGGCTGACGGCGTCGCACTCCAGCGCGTGGCTCCACTACACGGTCAGTTTGACAATGACGGCAGCTTCTTCAGTCTCAAGCGACTCCCGCCACTTCGAACAGTCGCGCGATTTGACTGCGAAAGCGCTTTCAGTTCAATACCGATCAAGGCGGAGGCTATCGAAGCAGAAGCGACCGAATCCAAGCCAAATGCTGCAGCTTCTCGCCGAGAGCGGTGCCGCATCAACCAGGCCAGATACAGAAAACGGCAGCGCCAGCACGCCGACGAACTCGATGAGAGCATCCAGCAGCTGCAGAAGGAGATTGAAGACCTCCAAGCCGAGCGACAGATCATCGAGCAGGCCACCTCATCCACGCAGAGCGTGTGGGTTGTAGCGACGGACTACTTCCGACACTTCCGACATGGATTCACCGCGGCCCCTCCGAGTGTGGCGAACTCGCCGTTTGCCTCACAACCATATGAGCCGCACCGTCAACTGGAATTCCTGCGGACGGCCATGGCTGAGGACGTGACCGACGGTTGTCTTTGTGGTGCGGAGGCGTTGCTGGAGAACTGGAGACTCTTCACTCTTCTGCACGGCGACCTACAAGTCCAGCTCACAAGTCTGGAGCAGCTATCCGGTGGCTCGCTGCTGGCTGCCACCTCGGTCACCCTCACTATCATTCAAAACACGGTCCTGCACCTGTACCCGCACCTGATCAGGGTCGGAGCCAACGGCCAAGAATGGTCTCCTCTCGCGTCGAGAATGCTGAACCAACGTCTAGTGGTGCCAGGGTCTGTGCGCTTTGATTGGGACAGTACGAGTGGGCGCGTTTCGAGACTCGAGTCGAAGCTCGATATGCTGACACCGATGTTGAAGCTGCTGGGCAGTTTGGAGGCTGTCGCGTGTGTGTTTGGTCAAACTTCGATAACCTTAGAGTGTCGAATCGTTCAGTAACCGAGAAGATAACAAATACCCATGTATAGTATTGTGCCTAAAATTTTTTTACAGGAAATGTTAACTCGAGTAAAACATAGAAAAAGCTTCATTTTGGCAAGTTTTGAGTGTTGCATTGTTGTTTTCAATCTCTAGCGGCGTCTTACGTCGCCGTCGTGGGACACATGCAGGTACAGCCCGTCATCAGTGATGCCGTATATCGCTCTCTCCACACATCGTTCCAAACGCTCCTTGCAGGGTCTTTGAACAGCGGTAAGCAAGTATAACGTGCTGCTTCGTAGAATGGGGTTCAGGGCGCAATGTCTTGCCGCAGAACAAGATGAATGCTTGGGAGCGGCGTGGGGCCGCCGCGTATGTTCATGCAGTAGTGTATACACCAGTAGTAGGATAGTGCCCCCTTACTCGTTGGCTCTCCCTGAAGCCTTCCCTCCTCTGGCTCTGGCAGTGCAATAGGTAGGTACAATACGGTAATGCCAACCACTCGCTTGAACTTGTTGCGACGACGTTGGCCAGCAGCTGAGAACAGCTGAAACGTGCGCTCACGTTATCTCGGTTGACCGCCCATTAATAGGCGATGCCGTGGGGTAGGGTCCTGCTCGAAATTCAGTGGACCGTGTGGAGCATGGTGGCACGCGATCGCTGTTTACAACGCTGGTCGCACGCTGGTCGCACGTAATCGCTGATGACCCGTCAACTTTACACGCGTCTGTGGCGCCGGTGTCTTCCGTGGGCTGAGGTGAGACTTGCGTTGTTCATTCCACAATTGAATTGTTTGACTCCAAGGGCACACAGCAAGCAAGACACACAGACACACAGTCAGCCATGGCCAGCAGCTTCCTTTGTCCGCCCAGCAACTATTCACTCGGTGACAACGTCATCGGCGGCGTCATGCAGCGCGTCGGCTACAACAGACCGAGGCAAGCGCACGCCCAGTTCGAACCGCCGACCGCTCAGCAGCAAGAGCCAAGGACCTATACATGTAGTGGCCACAAGCGCTTGCCCCAACTCGACTCCCTCCCGACGATGGTAGCAAAGCGCAGCAGGGACTCGTACGCCGTAGAGGAGGAGCTGCGGCCGCCGGCTGAGCGCAAGATGAAGGTCTCTGCTTCTCGACGCGAGCGCTGCCGCATCAACCAGGCCAGATACAGGCAGAGGCAGCGGCAGCACGAGGAGGAGCTCGATCAGAGCATCCGACAGGTGCAGGAGGAGATCCAGGACCTCGAGTCCCAGCGGCAGGACATTCTGCGCTGCGCCCCCACGAACGAGAGCGTGTGGGTCGTGGCCACCGAGTACTTCCGCCTCTTCCGCTACGGGTTCATGGCGCCCTTGATGGTGCCCGAGTCCAAGTCTGCATCGGTGCTGAGCAAGACCAACAAGACCCAGAACTCGACGGCGTTGAAGCAGTCAAACGTGCAGCTCGAGTTCCTGAAGGAGAGCATGGCGGAAGACGTAACCGATGGCGTCGCGTGTGGCGCGGAGGCGTTGCTGGAAAACTGGAGGCTCCTCTCGCTCTACCACAACGATGTGCACTTCCAGCTCCAGCGGCTGGAGCAAAAGCGAGAAGAATCGCTCAGCGCTGTGACCAAGACCAGCGTCACCATCACCAAGAATACGCTGCGCCATGTGTACCCGCACCTGGGCATCGAGCACCCGGCACTTGCCGCGAAGCTGCTGGGCCAGCGGCTGGTTATGCGTGGAACGGTGCACTTCCACTGGGACAACGCTAGCGGCCGAGTGGTGCGGGTGGAGTCCAAGGTGGACGCACTGACGCCGATGCTGAAGCTACTGGGCAGTCTCGAGAACGTTGCTATTGTCTTCGAGAGGGCTCTGATGACCCCCGAGGGCAGGTTTAGTGTACAGTGAACGCTAACGACAACAATTAAACTATACGCTTGTGAATATTTCAGCTCCGTTGTTCATTTAGCCCTCGTATTGGAACTTCAGCGGTTACTGCTGCAAACATGTTGGTGTTGCTGGGCCTCTGGCTTTAGAGGACATCGACATGCGATCTCTGGTGACTAAAGGATAACTGGGGTGCAAACAAGGCACAAATATTAGGCTCAGAGCAGCCGCAAATGATGGATTGCATGCAGAATACGGAGATCTACACATCTGTACGAAGAGCGCAGCGGCACATCCGTACGAAGAGCGTAGCGGCATGAAGCTTGCCACTGACTGTTATTTTTGTTGACGTGAAGCTTCGTTCGGACCCTTACAAGTTTTCAGTGGTATGGCTTACGCTATCGGGCAAGATGGCTCGGACACAATTACTCGCAGCTTGAATGGAACTACGAGATGTGCGTAATTCGTGGGTTCTGAGTTGTCATTCTCCAAGTCGCCGCGTCCTGTATAAGCCAAGCCCCCCTCGAGTCAAGTCAACCATGGGCAGCAGCTTCCTCTTTCCACCCAACAGAAATTCACTGGGTGACCAAGTGATCGGCGGTGTCGTGCAGCGTATAGTTTCCCTTCGTGAGCGGATCGACGACGACAGCACCATTGTTGGCCACGATTGGCCAGATGAGGAACCTTGAGCCACACGAACGCGAAGCAAGCGGAAGCTTTCCCACGGCGTAAGATAAAGGTCTCTGCAGCAAGACGAGAACGATGCAGAGTCAACCAGGCTAGGTACAGGACCAAAAAGAGGCTGTACGCAGAAGAACTCGACACCAACGCTCAGCAGTTGAAGGAAGAGATCCATGAGCTGCTGAGCCTTCGACAGCCCATCCTGCATACATGTTAACTTCCTCAAACGGACCATGGTGACGGACGGGGTGCTCGTGGGGCTGAGTCGATTTTCAAGAAGTGGAACCTCTGGTCGCCTTATCATGGTGACTGGGATGAAGCTAGCGGCCGAGTAGTGCGGATGGAGTCCAAGGTGGATATGGTGGGTAACCTTGAAAGCGTGGCTGTCGAGTTTGATAACGCCCTGATCACGCCGGAAGAAAGAGTCACGGCCGTTGCATTGAGCAACGACTATCAAATGCTGCGCGACGAATAGCAGTTGCTTGTTTGGTCAAATACGATAGTACAGCCGCTATCTGAACACTATCCTCCAGTATAATGCTAATCTTTAAGGATTTCGAGTGTATTTCCATTGGCCGATCAGGGTCTTGAGTATGGATAAAAGTGTAAAATGTACACGCTAAAGTGCATATATTACGTGGAAAATGCGCGTTTTACACAAAATATACAGATCCGCTGATACGATTGGTTGAACGACATGGGAGGAATGGCGGATTTCATCGTCGTTGTCTGTATCGAGGTTTTTCTTAGGTAGTAGCAAAATGTTCGTCTTGTTGGATAGTACAGCAGGCCAGTTATGTTTGTACCACAGTATTATAAATGATATTAGCACTTAATATGTAAAGTACTACTGCACTCGATCTAAGCCTTCATATTTAGTTTTTGGCCATTTCTCATGGTGCCCTCTACGCGTGGAGGTGCTTTCTCGCAACCAAACAATCGGCAATCGCAATACGTCTGTCAAATAGAAGCTTCAATATGAAGCTTCTATCGTAAATAAGACTATTGGTTTTTATAGAGATCATATTACAATCCAATATAGTAGTTTATTACGTGATGAGGCGAAGGGGAGATTTTTTTTTGGATCAACCACGGGACAGGCCAACTTTTGGATCAGCATTTTAAGTGACGAATTAAGCTAATTCCTTGCACATTATATAAATCCTAGGTCAAGTTTGATCCAAAAGTTGATCCCTCTCGTAGTGTTGTTGCCTTCATAATTTTATGTTATATTTTCAAAAATAATATTTTTACTGAACACCATTCTGGGAAAATGCCGCGCCGCTCCAAGACCTGGCCCAAGTGCAAGAAGCGTTTCGCCACTCATGGCAACATGAAGCGCCACCAGAAGATGGTGTTTGCGTGTGGCAAGCAGTTTGTTAAGCAACGCGAGGAGCTAGCTAAACAAAAGAAAGCCTACCGAAACCGCTACGACTATCTCAAGCGCCTCGGCCGTCTGCACGAGTATCAAGGCCCCCTCCCACCATTCGACGGCCCTACACCAACCCAGACGCCGCCTCCACGACGGTCGACACGTCGCTCGACCACGGCCGTTGAATCGTTGGGTACTGCCCCGTCCATTATCGGTCCCATCATTGTCCATGTTCACTACTACATGGACTGGCGCGCAGTTGACGCTTTCTATGATTAGAGAAGTAGGTTTCTAACCTGGTCGAATTAGATTCGTTTCTAACCACAATAAAGACGTTTTCCCCTAACATTTTTGACCAAACAGATGCTGAACTGAGCCAGCGACGTGCTGAATTTTGCCAAAACATGTCTGAATCTCGTGTCTTAATCGCGAATTTGATGCTGACAAACAACTCTATACTCAATTACGGTCGTGGAAAAGTGTCATAGATCTCGAAGTAACCAAATGTATTGTAAATGTAAGGCAAATTTCAATTAAAGCTATGCAGTGAGGGTTTGTTCTGTGCATGTACTTTGGGCAAGTGACAAGAGTTAGTACTCCGAGGACATCGACGCCTCAGAAACCGAGTCACCAACTTCGCTTGGACTGTCTTCGGCCGTCTCCACTGCGCTAGAAGTAAGTCTGGGCCGGACTCGACGAGGTGTGCGCACCCTACGGTTGGCCACATCCGACAACGCGTCGACGTACCGTTGAGCCTCTGCCTCCAATACAACGATAAATTTGCCGATGTCCGGGTGGGGATCCCCCATAGCGCGGTTCAATGTTCGATTAGAGCGTTCCAACGGATTATTAGTCCGATTCACGATGTCCTCTTGCACACCGTACACGTTCCAGTCTTCGGGCTTGTACTTTTTAATCCAGGTGCGGACGAAATATTTCCAGAACTTGGCCCAAGCTTCAGTTGAGTACGCGATGCCTTGGTCTTGGCATTCCCCCCGAATTGAGCACTGCATATTGCGAATTCCAGAGCGCACAATTTCAAATTGGCGGATTGTAGTCAGCTAATCCATCGCCCCTTCTTCGATTGCAATATAGACTTCGCGTTCAGCGATTCCGAGCTTGAGCATCTTTCGGCGCAGAGCTTGCTTGAAGTGAAAAAGACAGCCGATGAGTTTGGCCCGGGGAAACTGATGTTTGACAGCGTTCATCAGAGCTTGTTCAAAGTCGCACGTGATGAATGCAGGGTCCATTGCAAAGTCACAACAGGCGTTGGTGTGATACAAGACGTAGTCGTACACCTTGGTGGTTTCCCCCGTAGTCAGCGCGTAGCAGCTTGGAATGTACAGATTCGAGAGTGTGTCGTACACCATCACGACTACCAGCTGGTAAACGTTTGCGGGCACACAGCGGAATGTCCCGTCAACGAAAAGCGAAGTTTGCCGAGCCCTCAATCGGTCCAACAAAGCAGGGTTCCCCCACAAAATGAAGTGGTGCAGGGCCTCGCCCTCGTAGTAGGAGCCTTGATACTGGAAGAACTTCAGACTGGGGTTTTCTCGCACGCTGCACAGTGGGTCCATCTTGATTTGGACAAACACATCATTGCCGAAGCTTTTCAACTTCGTTCGGTAGAACCGGCCTGTTACCTGGTTTTTGGATAAACCGCTTGTAATCCTGCCCGGGCTTTGGAAGAACTCTTTGCGGATGTGGTCCCACACTTCCTGTGGACTGAGCGTTGGCTGCTCAAGCGTAAGTTCGTCGATCGCCTCCAGAATGTCGGCAGTGAGAACAGGTGCTGACGGAGGTCGTTCGCTTGGAATGTCCCTCGTAATTTCGCGATTGCAGCCGGGCTTGTGCTCTCCTCTCTGAATTATGGTCCCGTCAGCGCGATGGTACACCTTGGCCTTGCACTTGGTCCGCTTGTGGGAGCTGCACCGATAGTTTGTTGATCTTGCGGAGTCGTGATATCGCGCATGGTAGAATCCGTTGTAGACGATAGGCCCGGTTCTGACGCGACCGGCTTCCTCTGTCTTCGTCTCTTCATCTTCTAACTCCGTCTCTTGCTCTTCACTGCCGGCCTCTTCTGCACCACCATCTTGTTCTCCGACTTCGAACAGCTCACCCATGTCGCTTGACTCGCTCGAAGGGAACGGCTTAGTGTCCCCAGATGCCTGTGAGGAGGATGACCTTGGTCTTAGAAAATCCTTAGTCGGTTGTCGATAAGGCAGGTCGTCGTTGGTTGATGGGAATTATGCGAATGACCTCCAGGAAGTGCCAGGACACCAACTGGATGCACAATACCAACCTAACACTAGCGATAAGAGTACATTTGTACTGCTAAATTTATGGATAAGATTTTTACGCATGGGATCTGTGAAAACCTCGAGTTCGGACGCTCTAGAGATACCAGACTATTAACCAAAAGCAAAAAAAACAATCTAACATTAGCGATAAGTTTATGTCTGTATTGCTATATTTAGGATAAGGTTGATACGCATGGGATCTGACAGAAACGCCGTCCCAGACGCACTACAGATACGTCTGATCCAATATCAGGCCGATACCCACACAAATAGTAATATATTTAACCAAAAATTGATAAAAAAGAAAGTTGTCCCAAACGTTGATCCATCGCGAGACAAAAGTTGATCCAAAGTTGGCCTGTCCCGCGGTTGATCCAAAAAAGGTATATCGGCGAAGGCGAAGAGTGGACTACGTCGCAGCCATCAGCGTAGTCGCCGCATATTCTAGCCGTAGCCCTGCGATAAGTTCTACCCCCAGCCAAAACGCTCATAGCAATACCACGCTGCTGCCACAACCACCAAACTATCAGTTAGTCTTTTAGTATTGTGCTTTGCAATGATTTTGGCAATACGAGGCGAGATTTGCTGTATTTATAACGACCACCTGCTAGATTTACGATAAATCGAGGTGCATAAATGGGTGGACGCCTAGAATTACGCTAAAAGCGCCACAATTGCGCTTTTGAATGTGCAATTGTGGCTGTGCAGCTGTAATTCTGTCGGTTTTTATCCACAAGCACCTACACACACGGCAATTATGCATAAGAGGGTGGATGTGCTGGGGATCATGGACGGTGGTGTACTGGGCCAATACACAGGCCCTCCCAAGTCGATATATATATGAGGAGGTGGATTTATGCATAATTTTAGCAGGTCGTGTATCTTCTTTCACACATATTTAGGAGCAGGCTTTGCCATATTTAGCGTCTAAAATGGTCGGCAAAATAACTGCAAAGCACAATAGTACACTTTGTATTACTTACACTATGTTATAACAAGCAAATTAGCACTAATATGTATACCAATCTTCTTCTAGAATAACCCGATCGCATCGATAACGTTGTCCGAGCAGTAGCTCCATCTTCACCAACGAACATTTTAGAACACAAGCCGGCGTTTTTTGGTCGGGTTGGAGTGATGCCCTCCCGGTAGACGGCGCCGAGCTGAGCCTCGGCGTCGCTCTGCGGGCGCTGCCTTCGGACAGCGTCTAGTCCCTTGCGGGAACTGTGGGGACGTCTCTGTGGGCAAGGTGGTGAGGTGGCAGCAAGCTGTGGCCAAGGACTCGCCGCGCAGAAGGCTTCGCTGCGCGCTATGACCGGGTCCGCCGCAGTGGGCGGGCTGTTAACGGCATGGCCCAGAAAGATGAACTGGACGCGCGAGAAGGCCAAGGCGTGGGGCGGACTCCCGACTGGAACTCGGCCATCAACACGACGGCGGGCGGAGGATTCGGTGGGAGGAGCGCAAGGCACAAGAACAGATACTACAGATCAAGGCGCAAGGCTACGCTGGACATGCTAAGGACCGATGAGCAAGACGTGCAAGGAGCAGAACAGATACTACAGATCAAGGCGCGGACGGCTGAGGACATCGATCGGCGGCAGGACCTACAACTACCAGACGTTGACGAAGAGACCCAGAAGGAGAGCGACGCAGCGAGCTCCATTTTCGCTAAGGACGAGGAGGAGGGAGGGGGAGCACGGAGAGCCTCACATTTCCTGGCGTATGCGGAAAAAGGTACGCTGGTACACCGTACCCATTTGTGGGTACAGTACCAGTTATCTCACTCATTTTACGCTTCGACTAGCAGTATAGAGTCTAGCTTAGTGTTTTTGGGTTACGCGAAACACGCAATACATTGACATTGACATTGAAGCCGAGCGGAGCCCCGCAAGGGGGTCTCTTTGAAACAGGTTTATGCCGAGCACGTGAGCTCCCGCCGAGCGAAGCGAGATGGTGGTCTCTAGTGTGGTACACACAGGGGCTTCTATTGTAGGTACATTGCCCATCCCATTTTGATCCTACCATACAAAGTTTAGTACAAAGCGTGACTGAAAGGCCCAGCTCACTAAAAACACGGTGTACGATACTCGATAGTTAAGGTGGGTGCCGACCACCCAAAAGGCCGCCAGAAATATTTATTTGATTCATTGTGGTTTGCAGTTGTTTTGCCCTCCGATTTGGAGTCGTATATCGGTCCCTGCTTTTATGTAAATCGTCGTTGGGCAAGGGTTCAGTGTGCCTATTCCTGAGCAGATTTTGCCCCCTCTCTCCAGCTAAAGTGGACTATATCCAACCGCCTCTTACCTCAGAAGCAAACCCGACAGACAACAAGACAAGGCGGCTCCCTGCGGCTTCGCGTGCTGAGCGCCCCCCCCCCCCTCTCTCTCTCTCCCCACTCCCGTTCCCGGCGGTAAGAAGCATCCCTACGTTCTCCTCGTACAGCTGCAACTTGCTAACATATTGCCTGTGGCTTGTCTACCAGATCCAGCGAAGCGGAGAGAGACCGAGTTCCGCCTCTGCAGCCGAAGTCGAGACTGGCCCCCTCACTGTGCACACGCCTACTGATCTGGGTAGGGTATGCGCCTCTTCCATGTTGCAGTGCTTTCTGATGCTAATTATGCTACAAACTATACTGTTGCGAGTCGCTATTCGTTTTTAGGCTAACGCTAATACAAGCAAGAGACTTGAGCCTCCATTCAAACATTCGCGTTGTCTTTTGCGTTGCTGAGAGGCGTGCGTTCTGTTGTGGTGTTGTGTTTGCTGTGCTGTGTTTGCTGTGCTGTGGTCTGCGTGTGGTCAACAGCTTCGGCTATTTAGGTTGCGCCAACGCGAAGACAAAGCCTTGAGTTGCTGGAGCGCTGCGCCAACGCACGTGTTGCTGACGAGTACACTCAGCAACTTCGAGCTCAATTGTGCAGATTCATACACCCCACGCCACTACAGCCAGTCACGACGATCGGACTTCGCCGCCCCGTGTGTTGGATGCGACACTAGTCGTTCGAGTTGGAGAGCCGCTCGGGTATTCGCGTGGAGGATGGCGCAGAGATTACGTTCGACCGTGAAGAAGGCTACGCTGTATTCCGCGAGATGTGCTTGGTGAAGTTTGCAGAGCTGGCTGCAAGCCCGGAGACAGCCAAGAAACGCATCGAGCAGCACGGCAACAGCGATATATATCTCAAGCGTGCAAATAATGATGGACAATCCAAGTACGTGCGGCTGTCTGGGGACAATTTCTGCTCAACACTTCAGCACCGCTGGAGATTGCTGCAGCCCAGTGAGAGACTGGTAAGCAGCGCATTTTGCTTCAAGGTGTTTCTGTATGTTCGGAGCACGACACAGCCCCCGGTCAGTTTCATCGTGCTACTGTAGCAAGGATCCAGAGGGCCCGAGTGCAGCGCTTGACCCATGAGGCGGCAAACGCGGTAACGTAGATGTTTAGTGTTCTTTAGCTATCCTACAGCTCCTTCAATGCATTGAACGTTTCGTCTCTTAATGAAGCGCCAAGATACCCGCAGTGCTGAAATGTGCCGTGACAACCATTTTCATCGTACCGTGTGGACAGTTTCATGGCCGCATCAAGGACCATTTCCGGGTACAGCGGAAAAACAAGGTTCGCGTCCTTTTGAAGCCATCGTTTCAGGAGTCCGAAGCATGGTTCAATTGGGTTGAGCTGCGGGCAATAGGGTGGGAGAAATAGCAGTCGGGCGCCACAGGCATGCACAGCCGCCTCCAACTCAGGGTAGGCATGCATTTTCGCGTTATCCATGATGACGATCGAACGCGGAAGCGGCCACGGGTTCAAGTGTGGCACGACTCGCTTGATAAACGCCCTCTGGAAAACGTGCCCTCTGTCCAATCCAACGCAAATAAGCCGTTCACATTCAGCGCCGCCATTATCGACAGTCTTTTTCCTCGGCAAAACGGCAACCTCACGACGTCCTTGGTGTTGCGCCGTGACCAACCGTATCGGCAGTAAGCGTGGCGTCCATCCTTAGCCGTTTCGTCGAGAAAGACGAGCTGCTCAGCAAATGAATAAATATGCCGCAACTTAGTGTAGAACACCTCGATTTCAGCAGGCACCGCTTCCCGTGCCGCTTTTGACAGCACTTTCCGACTCAAACTCAGGTCAAAGTTCAGCACGCGGCAAATTGTCGATGTTGATACGTTGGGCAGCTCCGGGAAGAGCAGCACTATGTGGTCGCGGAACTCTTCGATGTAGAAAGTAGGGTGGTCTTGAACGTAAAGTTTCACTGCTTGTAGCACGTCGTCCGGCCAGAGCTGACGGCGGTTGTGCTCTTCCTTGTCGTTGACGATGCCGTGGCGAAGAAAGAGGCTGTACCAGCTGCGAATCGTCCTCGGCCTTGGCTCTAGAAGCTCAGAAACGTGCGTTATCGGGACGTCGTACACATGAATAAGTGCTACCGCTCGCCAGCGGAAATCGTCGTGGTAAGTCATGCCTTTTTGGGAAATGTGCAAAAGACCACGCCGCTGCATGATGACGGGCAAACCCATCGTCCAGTCATTTTGGCGCGATTAAGCGGCAAAACGGGATGGTGGGTTTTATTTCCGGCCTCACTCACATTAAATCAACCCCAAAATATTTGTAAATTGGACCGCCTGTACCAATCGGACCCCCGAAATCCGATTTCAGGGGACCTGTTTTGCCAAATCAAATGCAAACCACAATATTCGTTCGGTGAACGTAATTGCAGGCTTCTGGGTTGGTTTCAGTAGCAAAAAAATTTGATTAAGAACCCCTGCGACTTATTGTGCCTTTCTGGCAAAACGCCCTCCGATTTGAGGTAGGACGTTTGCTCCTATGTAAGATCTCATTAAAGTTAGTATCAAGACCAGTAAATCCATGCATACACAAAAACTGAATGTAAACTGAGCGAATGGCTTGCAAAGGTAGACCGACAAGTGAGCGCGAGCGCGTTCACTGTCAGTACCGCTATAGCTGTAGCACAGGCACGTAGCTCCACACTGAGCACGGTGACCTCGTTGCGGTGCTGCCTGAGTCTCCGCCTGTACGAGTGCGGCCAAACTATGCATTTGCCACAGATGCTTTCAGGCGCACTGGCCTGATCTCGAAGGACTCGTTAGTACTACGAAGGCCCAAATAGCCAGCTTAACATGGTCATTCGGTCTTTATTTCCAAAAAATACAAGGTCTTAAGCTAACTACATACAGCACCGCTCAACCTCGCTGCAAGTGGCTGCCCCCACTCCAAGTCTATGATAAAAACTGTCCTCCCACAACTGCTCAAGTCACGCTATGGTTGTTGACGATCCGTGTTACTCAGAGGTCGCGCTACAACGACTGGCCACACGCCAACTCCACCCTCTGAGATGACAAAATGGCCGAGAGCTCCCTCGTTCCGCCTAACAGCAGCTCGCTCAGCGACAGCATCGTCGGTGGCGTCCTCCAACGAGTAGTTCCACTTCACGGTCAGCGCGCACCAATAAATGACAGGAGCTTCCAGAACCACAAGCGTCTTCGAGTCCGCGACGACACAGAGCAAGCGCAAGAAACGAGACCGGTGACCCCCGCGCGCAAGATGAAGGTCTCGGCTTCGAGGCGCGAGCGGTGCCGGGTCAACCAGGCCAAGTACAGGCAGAGACAGTGGGAGCACGCGGACGAGCTCGAAGCCAGCATCAGTGAACTCAAAGAAGCGATCAAAGATCTCGAAGACCAGCGCGGGGTCATTTTGGCCCGCATCCCGACAAACCCGAGCCTCTGGGTCGTGGCGACCGAGTACTTCCGACTCTTCTCTCGCGGCTACATGATGCCGCTGCTAGTGTCGGACCTATCGTCTTTCGAGGCGGAGGTTCACCACCCAAAGGAAATTCACGCACAGCTTACCTTTCTTAAAGAGACGATGGCGCTGGATGTGACGGACGGGGATGCATGCGGGGTCGAGGCCATTCTCGAGATGTGGAGGCTCTTCTCGCTTCATCATAGTGACGTGAGTGTGCAGCTCAAACGGTCCAGTTGGTCAGCGACGAGTCGGTCCTGGCAACGACTTCGACGAGAATTACCATTACCGATCACACAGTTCGCGCTTTGTATCCGCACCTCCTGGAGACAGAAGCTCGTGGTCGGTTTTCACTGGCTGGGATGTTGCTGAATAAGCGTTTGGTGATACAAGGAACGGTGCGCTTCGACTGGGACGAAACGAGCGGCCGGGTGGTGCGTTTGGAGTCCAAGATGGACATGGTGACGCCGCTGCTGAAATTACTTGGGGCCCTCGACAAGGTGGCTGCAGTATTTGATAACGCTCGGATCACTCCGGAAGGTAGCGTCATCTCGAGCAAGCAGGAAGGCTTGTAGCGATATACAGGATATGCGCTGAAGTCGCTGGCGAAGGGTGACTACTGTTGTAACTTATTTCACAACGCTGGTGATGTAGTGAGGCTTTGTCAGCATGAGACGTCAAGACATCCATGCATATTTGGTAGCGTCGGACTAAGCCATGATGCTCGCTGTGATACTCGATCGTGGGATTAGGATATTTCTCTTGCTGTCAACAGAACCCGTCACCGGTTGTGAGAAGGACTTGATGATCTGGGCACAATTCAAGATGACAACTAGAGGTTTGGGCTGGTAGTGCATATTTCAAGCACTTCAGTCCTGCCTGCCCGCGAATGCACTTCATTAGTCGGCACGCTCACAACGACGACTCAAAGTGCTGAAAGTATTTGAAAGTATTATTTGGAGTATACTTGCACGCATCCGCGTTGATCTTGGTTAAGAGCTTGCCGTAGTGACTGGCACTTTGCAATGCAGCGCACTATGTTCATGAGGCGCACCACAGGGACGCTTTCGAGAAGCGCGGCTGGCGCAGTGGTTTTTCACGATGCTGGCACTCTTGACTGGCCGGCTTCGAAAGTCGACACCACTGAGGCCGCCCGCTCCGCCAAGACCGCCAGCGCCACCTCCGAAGCCCCCAGCACGAACGGTGGCACCAGCACCAACATCACCACGAGAAGCATCCTCTTCGAGCCTAACTGGTCGTTGATCACCTCGTACACGACGCGTTCCACACCACGGGCGCCGATCCATCGTACTCCTTGTGGTTCACGCCCATCATGTAGATGGGCGTGGAGTTCTTGGGCCGCTCCGAGTTCACCGCCTTCTAGCAGCCGCCCTCGAAGTGGGCGTGGGCCTTGTCCGTCGTCACGAACGCGCCCGTCGACTCGCACACATACGTGGCGCCGACGTTGTCCCACGGGCGACGGGCTGCGCGCCGCGAACACGTGCTGTTCACCACCAGACCGCCGTCGTTGGTCTCCACCGAGCTGTCAAACTTGCCGTGTACTTGAACAGGCGAACGGGTTGTTGATTCTGTTGACTGGGACGAAGCGGTATAACCTTTCAGATAAAAAATCGATATATTTCCTCATACAGTCCAAAAACTTACTTCGTGTCAGTTCATATCGAGTGATTTTGACTACAATACATTAATCGACCAGGTCCCAAACGCCGCTCCCAATGAGGAGAGCCAATCATAAGTGAGATTCAACAAAGTATGGACTGGTTTATCGGCTCCAAAGCCAAGAAAAAACCTTAAGGTTTTATTTTTGGCCAACTGCGCAGCCTTCTCCGCCTTCACACTTTCCGCCCCGCATCTCCAACACGACAGCGCGCTCCGAGCGTGCCGCACGCCTCCCCCGCCGACCACCCCAGACCCGAGTGCCCCCAGGCGCGCCCCACGCGCCCCACGCAAGGACCCGTCGAAAGCAGCTACAAAACCCGGCAGGGCGGGTGTTATGCTGCCGGTTTTGGTAGCTGTCGGCCAAGCACGAGGTCGTGCGCGCTCGCTGACGGTATGTGAGCGTTTTTCTATTGTGTATGACTTTGTATCGGGACTGACGGGAATCCATGCGCTGTGCTTAAGTTGTGGGATGGCGATGACGTGTGCATTTGCGCCTTGAATTCGATTATCCATGTTGTATGAATAGGAATGTATTAAGAGTTAATACAAGCTGCGTGATCCTACGACTCCAAGTCTTTTTGCTTCCATTGGTGACTAGCTGGTGTGCAGCGGTCGACGATGCCACCGTTCGCTTTGCGGGCGATAAATGCTGAGCAGAGCGCGTCGTACGCAGAGCGGTGGTCAGCGCGCAGCTTTCTCCAGCGCTTCCGTAGCGACCCCGCGGTTTTGGATCGGCCTTTACCGTCGATACTCCCAAGCGCAGCGTTGACCTTCTTGTCCAAGTCTTCCGCTAGCGTCCAGACACGCTGCTTCCACAGCCGATACGCGACGCCGTTCCCGGTCCAGTGGCGCCGTTGGTACGTCTACCTCTCGCCCTGCTGCTATGATCATGATGTTGACGCCTGCCTTGAGGTCAGCGCGAACAAACTGTTGTTTCTTTTGGGTTGCCGTGTGCCACAGCTCCTGTGTGTACCAGTTGTAGAAGCAGCCAGCAAGAGAGTGCGCTTCAACGACGGTGTCAGTGCTCGCCTGCGGGGCCTGGCCAGCACAGCGACAAGGAGCAGGACCGTCAGCGCTGGTGGCCTTGCTCTCGTGGGCCGCGACGAGCTTCTGAAGTGTGCGCTGCATTGCTGCGATGGACGATAGCATCTGGGTGACGGCTGCGGCAAGTATGGTGGTGTTTCCATTGCTGCGTTCACCCAGCTGTCCGAAGTTCTCCGTTTGCCAAGCCGTGCGAAGCTGCCGACCCCAACCAATGCACGTGTCCAGCGAGAGCCGAGCTCCCAGCGCTACGTTGGTTGCGTCCAGAGCTTCGTGGAAGCGGTACAGGTAATGCGATGTGAAGCCTGTGGCAGCCTGCTCCTGCTGGACTGCCGTCGCGACGTCGTCAAGATGGATGAGCAGGGACGCGAGCGCCGCATCCAGGACTAAGGCGTCAACGTTGAGCGTGGTGTCCGTGAAGCCGCTGACGTTCTTGAAGAGCTGGCCGCGCAGGGTTAGCAGCTGGGCGTACTCGAGCGCAGGAAGAAGCTCGCTCAAGGTGGCAATCCTGGGCGTGACGCATGGCAGGTGCGGGTCTCGGTATCCAGCGAGGACTTTGCCGACACTCTGGTCCTCGCGTGTCGTGGTACCCACGTACGCGAACGCCTTCGTGAGCGAGTCTAGCAGCCAAGCTCCCCGGGTCGAGATCCACTGGATCGCAAGCTGCGGTGAGGCGTTTGCATACGCTGCGGAGCCGCGGCGCAAGGGGTGGCTGCTCAACCCTGCGGTGAGCGTCGGGGGCAGCGGGGCAGAGGCCTGGGCTTGGCGCTCGCAGACCATGGTGATGACGTCGTTAATATACTTGGACACGTTGGGCCTTCCTCTCACGCGCTTTGTTGGTGGCTCGTTCCTTGGTTCAGCTTTCTCTTCAAGGTTCTCCCAGTAGAGTATAGCTTCGTCTTGGCTGTAGGTCTTCTCCCCTGGCAAATCCGATGCCGCCGCGTGCGGCACTAGCGGGAACACATAGCTGGAAGGCTCCGACGCTCCGACGAACAGCATTCCGAGGCCGTGCAGCATACACTGCTCCCAGTGAGTCGCGGCCTTGTAAATTGAGATGCCTTGAACCACCGAAGTCTTGATTCGAGCTAGATGCAGAAAGAGCTCCCCCGATGCCGCCATAGATAGCTGGCTCTTCCTAGCAAAACAGGTATCGATCGCTCGACCAAACGTGTGCCACATTAACGTTAGTACAGCAGCGTCATGTAAGCTCTTATAACCTGAGCCAACCCCCTTAATCGCAGTTTCCTGCACCAGAACACGCAAGTCGCCGAGCGTGCAGCCTGGAGCTTCACCAGTCTGCACGCCAGCTAGCAAATTTCGCTCCTCAATAGTTGAACCCATTTTGTCGCGTATTTTCGCAATTCGCTTGCTGTCTGACAAGTACAGAGGGTACCGCTCTCGGAGCAGGTTCACAACTTGGGACATATAGCCCACAGCAGTAGCCTTAGCAAGACGGCCTCCTCGAGCACTTGGCTTAGTTTGCAAGAAAATGGAGAAGGCGGTTAGCAAAGAGTAAAAGTTTTGACTTGGTAGAGCATCAGGAATAGACAGCGACTTCGCAATACTAGCAATTGACTCCTCATTCATGTTAGCAAGAGCTAAGAATTCGCTGAAGCACTTCATCGCCGCTGCCTCCTGCCCTGCTGTCCCTTGCGGGATGTCAAGCCCTCTCGGCGCTCGCTGCATCTTTTCAAATGGGAGAGGAGAGAAAGCAGACGAGTCACAGCCACCAACGATACAATCATGATTTGTATTGGGAATTTGCGGTCAAATATGAGTAATGCAACAATTACACTAAACTTTTGTATTGGATATTATTCTAGCAAGACTGTAAATTCCCAAAATAATTGGGAAAATGTTGGGATACACACGAATCGATCGTGATTGGCTAAATTCATTGAAGAACTTGTCCTGATTGGATAGATGCAATGACAGAGAAGCGCAAGGAATGCCAAGTTGGGAGAAAGCTTCCTTATCCTACAGTAATCTACTCGAGTAAGGAACGCCTGATATATATAAAGACGCAGAATATATAAATTGATGTTAAGTTGAGTATACTTTTCCAATGTACTGATTTAGTTATTTCAAAATGAACTGAAAAGCAGCTGCTCGCACCACAACCGCGCTGTCAACTGGTCGACCTCGTAGGGATTATCTAACCCTTCACCTTGTCGAGGATGCCCACTTTCTCAGACCAAGTGAGGCGGAGACGCTTGGACGGTGTGGACTTCATGGGTGGAGTGGGGGAGGAGGTGGGCTTGTGGGGCGAGGTGCAAAAGAAAAAGTGCAAGTCTACCACTACGGTACAAGTAGTTTGAAGTCTAGTAAGATCGCTAAATGCGCGCCATTTTTCAAACGAAGGTGGAGATTGGCACTGGATTTTTCACCTCAGTACCTTGCAGTACCTTGCACATCCCCCTATCGCCACATCGACTGGAAAATAATATTAAATATGTGAGGCTATTAGTTATACACCCGTTCCTTATTCGGGCAGAATTCTGTAGATGGTTCCAAAACATTTTCGGAAAATGGTGAGCGATTAAGACTACGGACCTTTCCTTTGGGATTTTGCACTGAGTGATTTGGACTAGGTACGATGATCCGCAGAAAATTTCTGTGATTGATCTAGACTACGTACGGATCCTTCCTTGAAGACAAAGAAGCAAAACGACCACAATCTAAAAGAGCTGGGCTCGTCCTCAGTTCAGCTTTTTCGGTCGCCGCAGCAGCCAACCCCCCCCACCGTGCTCACGGTAAAAAACTCCGCTGCTGTGGCGCCGAACTAGCTGGACTCGCACCGCATCGGAACTATCACCACCTGTACATCGCCGCGCTACCTACCGAGCCTCGCTTCATCATCTCGCCATCGCTCATGCTATCGTAGGCGCACAGTGCTGAATTTAGCATTATTCTATCTTGGTAGGAGCGCTCCGAACACCCTCCGCACTTTAGTAGATAGATCAAATATCGCTGCACAAACCACTTGCATACCAACTAGAACACCGAGCATTCTGCTATCGGCAAAGACCCTCTCGGAGGAGTCCTCCTTCATCCAAACAATTCAGAGCTGGCACCGTCGTACTTAACGTTTACCCTTAATCTCTGGAAACGAATATCCTACTCAACTAGTTTGCCACTCCACCGAAAAGACCTCTACTTTTCCGTGAATTTCAAGAAACCATGCGATTTCTGAAATTATTAACTGACTTTACTTGATTTCAGTATACTTTTACTTCATGTGCGCCTCATATCAGGTGCATCGAATTAATCCTGGTTGGGCTGTCCATACTTCGTAACCGAAGCACTACCAGGATAAGTAAGCAAGTACGACATTATGTAGTCTGCCTGTCTGTATTCAATGATGATCACTATCCGATCCCTACTATCTGTTCCTACGTCCTTTAGCTCGCTCTACTCGTTGCTCGCTGTTGCTACCCGATCCGCTGCTGCTATTAGTGATTCCGAGTCGCGCTCTCGACGCACTCGAGCTCAGACTCAAACTACTCGCCGGTCCACTAGCTCGACTGCCAGGTGTAGCATCGGGATACGTTCCCTTGACGTTGAACGTCCACTGCATCTCCTCCGTGCAGATCACGAGCTGCCCCGACTGCATCTTGCCATAGCCAGTAGGCGTGAACGATACCACGAATACCGCACCATCTTCGCTGCCGTACGGGGACAGCTCCCCCTCAGCGGGGTACACCGTGAACGCACTCGAAGAGCCGGCTGAGAATTCAGCCAGGAAGGCCGCCGGTTGTCGGAACTGGTTACGCAGTTGGAAGCTGACGGACGAAGTCTGGTTCAGGCTCGACTCGATAGTCAACACGTCGTCAACAGGAGGATCTCCTGCATCCAGCGCCACATCAAAACGCCATAGGCCCCCGCTGCTCTTTTTCACCAACAACGCGACTGATCCTCGATAAGGACGCAGAGGCTCAAAGCGTATGACGTAGGGAAGACTCACAGTCGATCTCGAGCTGGATGACACCGGCCAAGGTGTCACAGTCAAGGCACGCTCGATCGCCGCTGGTGTCGCCATGGGGCCGAAGCGACCGGCATCAATCTCCCACTCGACCGAGAACGTCTCGTCCGAAGGCACCATGTCATCCGGAGCTGCGAGTAGCTCGCACTCGACACGCTTCTCGACCGAGTCACGCGCTTGGCAAGCTAGCACAGCCAGCACTCGAGGGTGGATCGGCGCTTCAGCCACTCCTCGTAGGGGATATCGCCACTCCAGCTCCGCGTAGTCGTCTCCTCCATGGACTACCAGCTCTGCTCGTGTCTCACTCACAGATCGAGGCAGGAAGGAGATCGGCACCTGGAGAAGGCCAAAGCTCTCGAGCAGTACTCGGCGTTTCTTGAGCAGCATATCGAATACGGGCGACGCACCACGCGGTGAAGGCGGCGACCCGTTCCCGTCGGGATCGTCGTCAACGAGCTTCACGTCAACGCGAAGTGGTCCGGCGAACGGGTTCTTGAACGTGAACAGCGTCGACGCAGCTTCATTGACTCGAGCGGTGACTACGAGCGGCTTCATGACACTCGGCGCTCGCCCCCGTCCACGGATCGTGAACTCCCAGTCGCTCACGACGTCTTTCTCGTAGAAGATGATGCTGGTGCTCTCAAAGTCGGACAAGGAGGACGGCGTGTACTCCACGACGACGCTGGCACGACCGAAGGGAGGCAGTAGCACGCGTGTTGGCGTTTTGACGGCGTTGGCGGAGGCGTTGGAGCCCTTGATGGAGAAGTTCCTCGTGTTCGTGATACGATACTGCAGCTGAAGTTCTTGGTTACTGGGGTTCTGCAGCCAAAGCGGCTGCGTGCAGACGTCTCCGACCGCACACGACATGTCATCCAGCTCTTGGGCTGCTGCAGGCTCTGCTACGAGGTTCAATCGGTACCAGAACTGCCCCACTGCGTCACTAGAGAACAGAATGGCGCCTTCCTCCCCGCTCCCGGTCGTCATAAGCAGAGGCGAGTAGACCAACTCGTAGACGCCCGACTGACGAGCTTCCAGCGTGAAGGTCGAAGGCCCCAGAAGGCCCAGACCACGCAGCTCAACCGCGAATGTGGTCTCATTATCCAAAGGGTTGGCCAAGCCGATCTCGACACCCACTGCGCCACGTACAGTTGCACGCATCTCGAGCGTTGTCTCGGGTTCTGGAGGACTGACGGACGCCTCAACAGTGTACCAGAGATACTCATTCGTGGCTTCGTTCGTGAACGTAACGGAGCCAAAGTACGAGCCGCTCACTAGCGGACTGAAGGTGAGTGGATACTTGACCACGCGGTTCGAGCCGCCAGTACCTGCTGGTACGGTGAGTGTTGACGCTCCGACGACATCGCGCAGGTCTGACTCCACCTTGAAAACCTGCGCTGCATTTGGCTCGCCGCCTGGGAGCGCGAAGACGTCGAAGTTGTGCACGATACTGGAGCGAGCTTGGCAGTTGAGAGCAACGTGGTCCTGGGCGAGCGGTTCCTCTCCGTAGCCGCTCAATTCAAACTCGAACTGCTGCTGCGTGGCCGTATTCAACAGCACAAACGTCCGAGTCTCGTGATAAATCCACGACGGCGTGAAGGTCAGTGGATACGTAGCCGATCGCTTCGCAGGCACCACGAGAGACGGTGGACCGGAGAACATTGACGCGAGAGGCTTCCCACTGCCATTGCTATCAGTGCTGCCGTTGCTGAAGATCGCCTTGAGCGACCACGTCGTATCCGTCGGGTTGGAGAGCGGGATCTCCTGTACGATGCTGTGGCGAGCTGGCGCCACGAACTCCAGTTGCGTCTTCACGTTGGGCTCCTTCACCTTGGCGATAAGGTCGTACACACGCAAGTCGCTGCTCCCGCACGTGGTGTTTCGAGAGCGAAGCAGCAATTTACAGGCGTATCGCCCAGCTCCTTTTGGTTGGAAGTCGATCAAGACGCTGTTGGCACCGGCGGAAACGGAGCGAGGAGTCCCGAGCCGAGCTTGGTTGGCCTTGAGCGGGACTTTAGGACCCGAGGAATCGATCCCAGATCCATCAGATCTACCTGAAGCTGGAAGTGGCTTGCCTGAACCATTGGTAAGCGTCAACTCCGGGACATTGGCAGTGAAGTACGGCGAATTGAAGTCCACCTGGAAGCTCGTGTGGTGGTTCTCTTCGCAGCGCTTCAGTCCGTCCTTGAGCTTCGTCCGTAGATGGCCGTTAGCTCGCTCGACAAAGACTGTGAGTGCGCGATTCAATAGCGGGTTCTTGACGGGGATCGTCAGCTCTCTCACGAAACGGAACCGCGCCGCCGCCGCGCCAGCAGCTCCACTCGCTGCAGTTGACGCTTCACACTGCAGCTCCAGCGTCTCCAGACTTGCAGGCAGACTTGCGACCGCGTGGACTTCGTACAGGAACTCGCCGATGTTTTCGTCCAAGAAGAGCAGCTGACATCGGTAGTTCCCGGGCACGAGAGGTAAGAACTCGAGCTTGACCTTCGCAGAGCCGCTCTTCCGGATTGATACAGACGCGCCACTGAGTCCAGACGCTGGAACGGACAATCCACCGCCACCCTCCGCGTCGTCACCGCCCCCGTTGCTGTTGCCGCTGCTTCCAGACGTGCCAAAGTCTGGGAGGTAGAAGGGCTGCTGGGCACAGATACACCACGCTGAGTCTGCATCCTCTCCGCGGTTCCTGCCTGCAGTGCCAAACTGCTTCTTGCTGCCGAACGCCGCGATGTCCGACCCCATCCCAAAGCTGGCTGTACTATTCCCCGTCTGTGAAGCTGCTGCTGGGGCTCGCACCGTTTGTCGACGACTCCCACCTCGTGAAGAGGGCAAGACACCCGTAGTCGTAGCACTAGAACCTGAGTCGGTCATTCCATTCACAACAGTGTCCGCCCCTGATGGAGGCGTCTGCTGCTGCTGCTGCGTCATGGACAGCTTGAAGTTGGCATTAGCCGGAAACTGGTTCTCGATCATGATCTCCTCCACGCGCTTCTCGTACGTCTTCGTCTCGAGTTGAATGATTCGCACAGGTTTGCGCGACACAATGTTGGATTCTAGCAAGAAGACCATCGTGGCTCCACCTCCGCCGATTGACGTCGTTCCAGCGATATCCCCACGAACCGCTTGGAAGACCAGACGAGCTGTCACTTTCCTCGAGAACCGCGGACGGAAAGTCACTACAAACGCCACGGTTTTGCCAGGATCAAGCACGAGCTCATTCGACTCGATCGTAAACTCGCTAGCCGCAGCGGAGTCCGCGCCGCCACTAGCAGCTCCTACGCCACTCGGACCGGATGAATTCCTCTCCACTCCGTCCAGAAAGACGTGGTAACGCAGCGGTCGCGCGCTTGGGTTCTTGAGTTCAATACTCTTCTCCATCACCTGACCCAGTCCTCCTTTGAACTCGATCGTAGCCTTGGGGATAAACTGAGGCAGCGTCTGCTGCAAGTGAAGCAGCAGCAACAACATCTCACGACCGGTATATCGCCGTAGGAATCTCGCTGCGTCCAAGCCGAAGTCAAGCCCAAACGCCCCCAGAGTTTGTAGCAATACAACCGCTTGATGCTGCAACTGAGCGGCTGAAGGCGGTCTCCGAGGCCGTGAACTCAAGGCCTCAGGCATCCATCGGAAGCAGTGATAAGCACTCTGGTCCACCGATAGCGTCGGGATGTGGGCAGCCACGAGGTGGAAAAGCCATCGTCCGTCTCTCAAGTCACGCCCGATATCCAGGAGCTGAGTCTCGAGTAGCGCACCACCTAACGAGGCCATCGGAGCCACAGCGGGTTGTTGGGGCTTGTGTAGCGAGCGAACTCGATCGCAAAGCCACTGGATTAGCACCATCTCCGCCTCGCTGTAGACGTTGCTACCTTGACATGCGCGGCCTGTGGAGACTGGAGGCTTCTCACCTTTGCGCTTGGTATCACTGCGTGCGCTGACGTCTCCAGCAGAAGTCTCCGCCCCACCTTGTTGCTGCATCTGGTAGCCCTTCCACGTGATACGAGAGAGCAAGAAGCACTTGATCACCTGGTAGATGACCTTCATCCATGCGGCAGTGCTCAGCGCTCGCCATTCGTTTTTGAGCGCCCGTCGGCGTGCTACAAACGGGAGGGTGGCGTACGAAGGCGACGAGAGGAGAGCGGGATCAGCCTGAGGACTCTCGCAGGCGCGTAAGTAGAACTCTTGCGCGAGAAGGTGCTCGGGGAGCACGTCGTGGACCATGGCGCCATACGAGCGGAGGAAGCGCAGCAGCTCCACGTACTGGTTCGTGTACTGCGTGAGCTGGTCCTTCTTGGACGGCTGTGGCGCCGATGAATTCGAGTTTGAACTGGATCCAGCAGCTCCGGTGGCCTTAGCGTTAGCACCTGAAGCGTTCGTAGTATCGGCGTTCTTTCTCTTGGTAGGGGCATTCGCGGCGCCAGGTCCGCGAAGCGTAGGCACAGCCAGCCCTCCAGGCTTCTTGATGCAGATCATGTCGAGCAGCTCGTACAACGGACAGCCGGCGTTGTCTGCGAAGCCCTCTGGGAACCGAACCACAGGCGTCCGCAGGAAGTTCGCGTTGAGGTATTGCAGTACCAGCTGAATCTCGCCCTCGGTGAACGGCGTGGGCGGTGTTGGTGGGGGTAAAACCTGCAGAGAGAGTAGGGACGACGATTGCCGCTTGAGCAGAGCGTGCCTGGTGGAGCTTTCTTCATCGACGCCGGTAGAAGGGTCGACAACCACGAAGCCATTGGGGGCTAAGTGCTGCTGCTGTTGATTCGGCGCTTGCTGCGCTTCTTTGTGCTTCTCCGTCTCGGCTTGAGCTTGTCTATTAGATAGCAAATAGACTGGGAATCGACCGGATGCGTGAGTGTAGAACTGGAAGCCGCTTGGAGGCTTCCCATCCGACTCGATGCTCTTGCTGCTGATTGACCCCCGATTCTCCCCGTTGGCTTTCGAGCTGCTAGAATCGGCTTCAAGCTCCGTCTTGGCCGACTCTTTCCGTTGTGGAGAGTGTCGAGGGGAACTGCCACTACTGCTACCGTCTTCCATTAGCTCTGGACCGAGCCTTTGAGTCTGGATAAAGTTGTAGTTGGTGAACAAGCAATTCTCTGCGCAGCCAGCTACGGGCAGTGCAAACGAGTTGCCGTCGGCGTCGAAGAACTCGAGTCTGGCGTTGAAAGCCACACTGGCGCTGCTAGAGAAGCGCAATTCAACAGGAAGACTCGGGCACGCCATACTGAGCGTTTTCCCACGAGGAAACAGCACCGTCAACGGGGCTCGTGACGTATCCAGAGGCACTCGACAAGCGAGTTCGAGGTGGTCGTACCCCGTGGCGTAAACTTGGATGTGCGCGGTTGCAGTGACTCCAAGCGGGACGGTAGGCAGCACCACCCGATTAGTCGAGAAGGACAGATGCGGGTGGATTCCTTCACCTCTTAGACTCAAATTCACGTACGGCCCACCGTCCACTAGCAGCGGCAACTCGTCTTCCGCGTACTCGACAGCATCCAGCGGCAGGAAACTCACTCGAATCGTGACTTCCTCTCCAGGAGCCAATTCTCCACAATCAGGGGCGACGTGGAACACGACTGCGGTCGCGCTATTCGTCGGGTTCGCTGATGCAATTCGCTTCGCAAGAGCTGCGGCGCCGGAGCTTGCTGCTGCCGCTGCTGCAGCGGCTCCAGCGGCGAACGTCACGAGATTCCCTTGCCTCAAGCGCGATGTATCAATCTGCCATCGAATCGGCTGCGCGTCATCGTTCGTGAGCACGAGCTGCTTCGTGTACGGGACTTTCCGGATGCCTTCACGTGTGATAACGCAGCGGTTGAAGTGCATGGTCGAGGAGGAGAACCGCAGTCGTGGTACGATGGCTCGCGCTATTACTCGACGTCGAAGTGGTGCAGGAGCTCCGTTGTTGGGGCCCGAACTTGACCCTACTCCAGCGATCTGGAGCGGGAGGACAAGGTCATGGCTGCCCTCTTTCAGTGGTGTGAACACGAGGTGACACGACACCGTGGAATGCGGCGGCAAGCAGATCTGCCACTTGACGCACCGCGCAGACAGGTCGTCATCTGTATCGGCCTCTCCGTCCTGGGTGTTGGCTCCACCATGTCTGGGCTTGTCGTCGGTCAAAGGCACGAAGATGTTGCTGGCGTCTTCAAGGTGCGCGATCAACCTCGGCGGCGTAGCGATTGCGAACTCGTCCGAGAAGGCGGAAGAGCCCAAGTCCAGCAACAAGCAGGCAGGGATGGAGCTGTGGTTCTCGAGCGAGATCACGCGCGGGACAGAGACGCCCAAAACGACCTCTCCAAAGTCGATAGCCTCGACTGGAGCGAGGAAGACGTCCGGTACTAGAACGGAGGCGGTCACTGGAAGGCGAAGGACTTTGCCTCCTCGTACGGTTATCACGATGTTCACCTGGTGAGAGCCACTGGTAGTTCCGTCCAACGTGATGGCACGATGAGGTAGCAGCTTCACGACCAATTCAGTCGACTCTTGCGGATCTACCACACCTTGCGCGGAACTCACTTGCAGTCCGATCGTTGTAGTCATTGACGGAGGGTCTACACTCGCGTAGAACACCGCTCTCGTGTGCATGCCCAGGTTGGACAAAGTGATGCGCTTGTCGCGCTCTACGCCGACGGAAATCGTGCCAAAGTCCACCTTCTTCTCCCGAGCCACCATCTTCACGTCAGGCAGCAGCGCTCGGCAGTTGAGTATGCCCTTCTCCCCGCCTGTGACGTCTAACTGGAACATTTGGGCCAGCCACATCGCTCCACTCCTCTGTGAAATCCCCAACGCCGTCATGGCCAGCCCAGACATCGATGGAGGCCGGTAGATGACCTTGCAGACCATCGTAGCCGATGGGCCGAGGGTTCCACTGGCTGGCAGAACCTCAAACACTGGAGCTACTGAGCCATTAGCGCTTGCTCCTTTCTCGGCCATCGTGTTAGTGGTGACTGTGGTTGTCGCGTTGCTCTTGGAGGAGTCGGGGCGAGTCGATCCGTCAGGCGTGGCAAGTAGTGGCAAGCGCGTCCAAACGAACGGAGCTTCAGAGTCGCAAGTGTTGGTGATGACCACGTCTCGAGCGACGGATGTGCTCAGGTCCAGCGCTCCGAAGTCAAAGCGCAGCTCTTCTGGCGCCAATTCGACCACGATAGGTGCGACCTCCGCGACGATGGTGACCTGACGCGGGTGAACTCCGTTTAGCGAGTACGTGATCGCCTGCTGGAAGAATTGTTCACGTGACGAGCAGAAAACCAAGTCAAACCCCGCCTTGCAGTGCGGGGGGACAACTTGCGACGTCAGAGTTGTCTTGCGAGCGAGCTCTTCGATCTGTCCCGGCGTGCCGTCCTTATTGGTCGCGCCTGCAGCCAAGTGCAGAGCGACGAGAACGTTGTGCTGCAGGTTGTTCTGCACCGTGAGACTGCGTGTCGCGCTGCCGTTGACACTCAACCGCCCAAAGTTGAGAGTCTTTGGACCTGAAACGACCTGCTCCAGCTCGTCGAACTCCAGTGTTCTAGCGCAGTCCGCTAGCTCCGCTGGCGTGGCCGGTGCCGACTTGAATTTCTTCTTAATCAGCTTGAACTCGTCGAAAAAGGCCTTCGACAGCCCCGCATTCCCCCCTGCAGGATGCTGGTTGAGCCAGAGCGGCTCGTTCGGCTTCATCAGGGATGGAGGCAGGCGTAGCTCTTGTGGTTGGGGCCTGCTCTCTCGATCCATTCCGAGATCGACACCTCCTGAGCTGGGAACACCGTCGTCGTCTTCCTGGTTGTTGCCCCGAGCTTGAACGACACTCGACTTGAGTCCTTGGGCCTTCCCCTTCCACCCTTTAGCTTTAGCTTCTCGCTGAACTCGACATTGAGCGAGGTAGTCGTTGTACGCGGCTCGATGGTCGGCACGACGCGCCAGTTCCTTGACGCAGTAGGTCAACTGCGTGTTGTTCGTGCCTTGGAACTCAAACTCGTCCAGCGCTGCAGTGCCGTTCAAAGCTGCGAGTTCGTACGGAGGCTGGCGTCGAAAGCGTTTTGACAATTTCCCCTTCGTCTGCTTTGCCTCTTCTGGCAGGAGGAACTTGTACTTGGGCGCAAAGTCGGCGGGGAGCGCCGTTGGACCGCCTACAAGTCGCTCCCTGACAGGGGGCACTGGGCCGACCACAGCCGCTCGTCCCAGCACCTTCACGGGGATCTCCAGCACACCGTCGTTGATGCGCAGCGACAAAATGCTGTTGAACGTTCCAAGCTGCGTCGGGGCGAAGCTTACCACGAGACTTTGCGACTGCAGCACGTCCAGGCGGCCCGCGCGTGGACTTATAGAGTAGTGAGCGACGCCTTTGTCGACTTCGAAGCGCACGGGCAGCCCCGACAGGTTCTTCAGAGACAGCAAAATATCCGCGCGATCGTAGGAACGAATGTCGCCAAAGTCCAACGGCGGTGTCGGAGAGAGCTGCAGCCGAGGGATGTAAGTCTTGGCTGAGACCTCGAAAGTCAAGTTTTGAGCCTGTAAGTCCTCGCAGATGATGGACGCGAAGGCGCTCAGAGGCTGTGCGGGGGCCGGGAGCAGCATGAAGGGGGAACTGGACGAGTCCGAGCTGCTGTTGCTGCCTGACGAAGCGCCATAGTCAGCTTCATTCTCGTTATCAAACCCCGCGCCGCCCTGCTTCCGCTCAATCCGTTGAATTTCCTCCGAAGTCTTGGCTCTTGGCTTATACACGAACGTGACGAAGGCTTCACTGAAGGGGTCGATGCAGCCGTCGGCTGGAGTAATGCGCAGCTCTGTGCGTCGTTCGTACGCTTCTCGGTCCTCCTCAACGCCCGTCGCTGGGCCTCCACCGCCTCCACCACCGCCAAAACTGATCGAAGTCTTGAACGTCAGCGGCAGCGGCCCGTTATTGCGCAGCAGCGTCTCGATCGTCCGCGTCTCGCCAGCAAATAACGACCCAAAGAACAGCGACTGCACCGGTTCAAGACCCTGTCGAAGTACCAGCTCCGCCGTGTGCTCCACGACCGTCCCTGACACGTCGATGATCTTCTCTGCAGACGGAAGCGGCAACCCGCCCGCACTCCTCGCACTCCCACGACCAGAGTCCTGCGCCGCTGCAGCGTCAACCACATCGTCGTCTTCTTCCTCTTCTCCGCCTCTGCACTCCCAGATCCGAACGCGCACAATTCCTCGGAACGCGCCCGTCTCGAGCCCGTTCGCCTCCACCTTGACATTAACAGTCTCTTGCGGCATTAATCTCCCTCTCTGCGGTTTGACGGTGATCCCCGCGCGTGAACTGCCCTGAGTACTACCAGCGCTCAGCTGATTGCCGGCATCCAGCACGTCCACGATGAACTTGCCCGGCCTGGCACCCGAGTTCTGCACCTCGACGAACCGCGCCGACCGCTGGGTGAGCACCACGGGCCCGAGTTCACACAGCGCCGGCGTCACCTCCAGCAACGGACACGCGCGTCGAGCTATAAGCGGCACTTCAAGAGCGGACCCGTCGTCTCCGCGGAGCTGCAGCGCGTCGTGGACGATGGCGGGCGTGGACTCGACCCCTTCATGGTCGTCGTCGATTGAATTGGACTCCTCGGTCTCTGGCAGCTCGAACGCGACGTCGTACTTGGTGCTGAGCCCCGGGGGCAGCGTGACCGTGGCGTTCTCGGTACTGGCCAGGTCCCGACCGCGCAGTAAGACTCGGAACGGCGACGCGTGGGGCGGCGGCGCCAACCGGAAGCGCAGCACGCGGTCGCTGGCGTTGCGCACGCTCAGAGTCGCGACGTAGCACGCGCCTCGCTCGAAGGCCGAGAACTCGATGGCGGACGGAGCCACCTGCAGCGCCGACGAGGTGCGATCCCCGCGCAGCCCGCAGGGCGTCGATGGCCGCCCCACCGCGGACGCCGACGGCATGGCGCCAAAGTAGAACAAAGATATCTGGAGAGGCGTCCCGAGAGGCGCGCGTTACTGCAGGCGGGGGTTAGTGGAGAATAGCTCTAGGAGGGCGAGGAGAAGGGAGGTGGGGCGAGACGCGTTGGGGATAGATATGGTGTATGCATGGCTCCATGAGGTTAACTAGGGGGGGGGTCTTCATTCGAGCAGATCGGAGGTCATGGAGTTGATCTGGATTTGGATTGGATTGGAGTTTGCAACGACGTTAGGGACTCGCGTGATAGTGACAAGAAAGGAGCGGTGCGTACCCAGCCAAGCTCCTCCTGTGTGGCCTGCTGGAGCTTGGTCGAGAGCTCGGCGATCTCCTGTTGCCGCGTCTCGAGCTCGTCTTGGAGGGATGTCAGGGGGCGCTGCTCGTACTGCTTGAGATCAGCCTCGAGCTTATACAGGCGAGCTAACTCAGCTTGGAGCGACTGGATCTGCGTCTTCCGCTGACGAGCTGCAGCCTACAACAGGAAGCACTCAAGCACATGAGAAGAAAGTTCTACAATCACATGGTTTCGTTTGGCGGACTTTTTCGAGCTTATCGTGACCCATCGTCGCCTGGATTTTGTGGCAAAGTTCATCGAGCTCGACAGCACTCATGACTCGGACATGCTGTCCCGTTGAGATACCGGTGGACGTATCGGGTGCTGCGCGAGTTTCCGCTTGGTGCAGCACATTTTCATGTGACAGTGCGTCCCCAGTAGAAGTAGTCGCGGGACTGCAGTAAATGACAAGGGAACAAGGGAAGGAAGGAGACATCGTCGTGCTGCGGGGTTAGCAAAAAGCAAGGAGCTGAAGGCAGCAAAGTGCAGCTCAGAACTGGGGCCTTACATGGAAGACGGGGTCTGCTGGGTGCGTAATTGCTCTGGTAGCTGCTTCTGGGTATGAATACTCCCGGCATTTCCTCGACAGGAATCAACGTGGACTCGTTATCATTACTGATATCAGCTTGCGTTTCGACGTGGGCGCCGGTTGCTAGAAGCTCTTGGAATTCTGGTACTGCCAGCACGCCGTCGACTTCGATGCTGGAGAAGCTGCACGGTGGTGGCCGCGAGGCCATTTGGTGATGCGAGGACCGAAATGAGAAGTAAAATTTACCCGTCTAATGGGTGCCGTTGACATTTTTTTTTACCTGGGACTGCAGTCCTCCTAATGTCTCATGAATTCAACACCCTTCCCATTCTATTTATTGCTCTACATGTAATTTATTGTCGCTCGTCTCAACTATTGCCTCCGCATATTTTGGACTTTGCACACCGGTACTGGCCATTAGGCTCCAAGTTATGCCGGGGAGAGAAGGGATATCTCTACAAGAGCAAGGAACTCGCAAGAGTTCCTGGTTGGCGCGATCAAGGCGAGTCATCTCGGATCGATTCGTAGTAGCCAATTTTCCTAACATGCTTGGTTGCGATCTGTAGACAACACGATGCCCAAGTCTTCAGTGGAACCCCGGGTACGACTGCTGCCGTATCGCTATTCGTTAGACCCCCGCCAGTAGCGCGGGTTCCAGCTGCACCACCGCCACGATCCATCTCGAAGCCGCGCGAATCGTCATGCAAGGAAATGCGAGCAGCGGCAGCAACCACTACATCGCATGTCCTGCCAAGTGGCCAGCATGTCCATGTGATGAATGGGGCCGAGTTCGACGAGCTTCGTCGGAAACTGCAGATGCAGACAGCTTCTCGGCGCTACAGGAAGCGCAAGAAGGTACGCGTTGATTGCAAACGATGCTAAGAGCCTGGTCTTGCTGACTTGTGGCCTTGCTGGTCTGCACATGTACAGGAGGTCACGACAACAAAAGATGGAGATTAAGGAGCTACAGTCGGAACTCGCGCGACTTCGAGGGCTCGAAAAGCAGTCGCGGGTCAATAAGAAACGATCGCGAGACTCACTCGAGAAAGAGCTCACGCTTCACGAGAAGGAGATCTCGGAGCAAGACCCAGGATGCCGCCAAGAAAGAAGTCGACTGGGTAACGGTGGAATGTGGGCTACCCCTGCCTACGGTACGCCAGTGAAGACTCTTCCAAAGTTTGCATTTTTCACTTTCCACTTTGCAAATTCAAATGAAATGCACTTTATTTAGTACTTCTGCAACACACCTTTATTTGCGTCGAAAGCTCACAAACAGCAAGCGCATTGGACTGGGGTGGTGGCGATTAATCGCCATGAGAAACCTTTTTCATCAAAAAGAAAAGGCATTAGAGCAATACATTGACGGCATCTGCTGCTCCACGCCTAGAACTGCCTCTCTTCTCTGCCTCTGCGCCTGCGTTGATGACCGTCCAGGCACTGGGTGCCTTGCGTCCTTCTCCTCCTCTTCACAGTCACAACGTGGACTCATGGCCACCTCGCTCCAGTCCAAAAACTCGCTTCTCCCTCGGTGGTCTTGGCTCGTGCCGTTCGTTGAATGGTAGTCGATGCTCGAATGGTTGGTGGCGGTGCTACTGCTTCGGCTGCTAGCAACAGTGTTGTCATCGTCGTTGGGGCTGTCGGTCGCTAGCAGCTCCAGGACCTCCTCCATCATCTCGCGGTCACTCGCACTCGAGACGAACATGTAGGTTGGTCGCCAGGACATTCGATGGGAGAAACGCTTCGTCAGCGAGTAGTGCCTGGTGGACGGCAGGACTACTTTTCTTTACGTTTTTTTGTCAAGTCTGGGACCCGTGTCAAAAACCCGGTGAGAAGTGCCTACCAAAGTCGCTCGTCCCGTCGGTTCTCCACGCTACAAAAAATTTAACGCAGGTGTCCCGTAGTGTAAGCGCAGCGTCCCTGGCTAACTTGTGTTTTTGCCACAGCACGGGATCGACGCCATCCGCACTTCAAGCAGGTCCGTACGGCTCTTGCCACGACGTCTGCACCAACGCCTAGTGCGTCACCGTCTGCTTGGCCGTCCGCCGCGTCCTCCAAGTACCTCTCAACGTCCAAATTCAAACCGTAAAAGTATCCGCCTTGCAGTACCCGCCCATGGCGATCTCGAGGTCTCCGAAACCGGCGAAGTTCAATTCAATTCGCTGCAGTCGAGCTCGCTCTATCCACTCAACGCAACTTCAAACGGAGTCGTCTACGCGCACGGAGTCCGGCTGGGAACCTCGACCAGTGCACGTTGTTTTTCACAACGTCCTCGGGTGTGCGGTTCTTAAATTTGAGAATCGACTCTGAGATCAAAGTCGTACAATGGGCACTACTAAACTGCCGGCAGCAACTATGCCGACGTTTTAGAGCGCGTCGAGCAGCTTGAAGTGAGTGCCAAGCAGAAGGAGACGTACTGCGTCGGGTAATTCGAGAAATAGGAACCGAGCTGGTATTCTTGAGGTTGCCTCTGTTCCAGTGGCGTGGTCCCCGTCGACGCGGAAGCGCTGAGCGTCAGTGAAGATGCTCTCGCCCCCAACGAACCCGAGCCACGGGGAAAGCGTATGGCGGCAGCTAGGCCTTCAGCAGCGTTGGCGTTCTAACGCAGGGTACGGACGTTCGGTTTGTTGTATAGCTCTCGCCTGCTGCAACTTCTCTTTTGCCCCTGTGTACATGTGCGTTCATCCTGCGAAGGTCTGGGAGTCCTCGCATGGGGTCTTCTCGTTTCATTCGGGCCGTGGCCGTATGCCCAATACGCACTGAAACCTCAGCCCGATGGACGGCACGACGTGCCAGCTCCTGCTTGTGCCTCGAAACGCGAAGTCGTCCAGCGCTGCAGCGCCTGTCAAAGCTGCGAGTTCGTACGGAGGCTGGCGTCGGAACTCAGAAGCTTGCACTTGAGCGAGTCTAAGCTGCCGTTGTTGCTTGATGAAGCGCCATAGTCAACGTAACGTCCTTCATTGAACGCGGCACTACCTTGTCTTCGCTCAATCCGCTGAGTGTCTTCGCTCAATCCGCTGAGTGTCTTCGCTCTTGGATAGTACACAAACGTGACGACAACTTTACTGAAGGTGCAGCCGTCCACAGTGGTCAATTTACATTGAAAAAATGATTGAGATTTGCCGTCACGCTACAATTTTAATTGTACAATGTAGACATTGAATTGTATTCTTGCGGTTTGTATAGGGGTCTGTATGGACCATTTGATTGGCTACCCACGCACATACAGTTATCAAGTCAACTGTCTTGTACAATACAATAAAATCATTGCAGCCAATTTTCTAATTGTAATTATTGACCCCAATTTTATCAATAGTTTTATTGCAATTTTTATTTACGCAACGCTGCGTCCACTGAGTAATGTGCAGCTCCTTGCCGTCGTTCGGGCCACCTCCTCCACCTCCAAACCCGGTCTGAAAATTGCGGGAGGGAGGACCCACTTTTCTGCTGAAGCTGAGCCTGAAGGCGCTCTATGTTGACCGGTACCCAGATAAACACATGAGCTAACGGGTCCATTGACCTCACCTTGCCTGCCACCTACTCAAACAACCTTGTGGGGTTTGCTTGGCGTCGAAACCTTGTGCATGCAGCAACCAAGCTCGCAGTTAGCGCTGCTCACACTGTCATGCTGCATCGTTGTTACGTCGCTACAATTGACGTCGCCTATCCTGTTCGCATATGTACGATTTGATGCACCGGGACTATCTTGATTATTGTAGGATAAGGAAGCTTTCTCCCAACTTGGCATTCCTTGCGCTTCTCTGTCATTGCATCTATCCAATCAGGACAAGTTCTTCAATGAATTTAGCCAATCACGATCGATTCGTGTGTATCCCAACATTTTCCCAATTATTTTGGGAATTTACAGTCTTGCTAGAATAATATCCAATACAAAAGTTTAGTGTAATTGTTGCATTACTCATATTTGACCGCAAATTCCCAATACAAATCATGATTGTATCGTTGGTGGCTGTGACTCGTCTGCTTTCTCTCCTCTCCCATTTGAAAAGATGCAGCGAGCGCCGAGAGGGCTTGACATCCCGCAAGGGACAGCAGGGCAGGAGGCAGCGGCGATGAAGTGCTTCAGCGAATTCTTAGCTCTTGCTAACATGAATGAGGAGTCAATTGCTAGTATTGCGAAGTCGCTGTCTATTCCTGATGCTCTACCAAGTCAAAACTTTTACTCTTTGCTAACCGCCTTCTCCATTTTCTTGCAAACTAAGCCAAGTGCTCGAGGAGGCCGTCTTGCTAAGGCTACTGCTGTGGGCTATATGTCCCAAGTTGTGAACCTGCTCCGAGAGCGGTACCCTCTGTACTTGTCAGACAGCAAGCGAATTGCGAATATACGCGACAAAATGGGTTCAACTATTGAGGAGCGAAATTTGCTAGCTGGCGTGCAGACTGGTGAAGCTCCAGGCTGCACGCTCGGCGACTTGCGTGTTCTGGTGCAGGAAACTGCGATTAAGGGGGTTGGCTCAGGTTATAAGAGCTTACATGACGCTGCTGTACTAACGTTAATGTGGCACACGTTTGGTCGAGCGATCGATACCTGTTTTGCTAGAAAGAGCCAGCTATCTATGGCGGCATCGGGGGAGCTCTTTCTGCATCTAGCTCGAATCAAGACTTCGGTGGTTCAAGGCATCTCAATTTACAAGGCCGCGACTCACTGGGAGCAGTGTATGCTGCACGGCCTCGGAATGCTGTTCGTCGGAGCGTCGGAGCCTTCCAGCTATGTGTTCCCGCTAGTGCCGCACGCGGCGGCATCGGATTTGCCAGGGGAGAAGACCTACAGCCAAGACGAAGCTATACTCTACTGGGAGAACCTTGAAGAGAAAGCTGAACCAAGGAACGAGCCACCAACAAAGCGCGTGAGAGGAAGGCCCAACGTGTCCAAGTATATTAACGACGTCATCACCATGGTCTGCGAGCGCCAAGCCCAGGCCTCTGCCCCGCTGCCCCCGACGCTCACCGCAGGGCTGAGCAGCCACTCCTTGCGCCGCGGCTCCGCAGCGTATGCAAACGCCTCACCGCAGCTTGCGATCCAGTGGATCTCGACCCGGGGAGCTTGGCTGCTGGACTCGCTCACGAAGGCGTTCGCGTACGTGGGTACCACGACACGCGAGGACCAGAGTGTCGGCAAAGTCCTCGCTGGATACCGAGACCCGCACCTGCCATGCGTCACGCCCAGGATTGCCACCTTGAGCGAGCTTCTTCCTGCGCTCGAGTACGCCCAGCTGCTAACCCTGCGCGGCCAGCTCTTCAAGAACGTCAGCGGCTTCACGGACACCACGCTCAACGTTGACGCCTTAGTCCTGGATGCGGCGCTCGCGTCCCTGCTCATCCATCTTGACGACGTCGTGACGGCAGTCCAGCAGGAGCAGGCTGCCACAGGCTTCACATCGCATTACCTGTACCGCTTCCACGAAGCTCTGGACGCAACCAACGTAGCGCTGGGAGCTCGGCTCTCGCTGGACACGTGCATTGGTTGGGGTCGGCAGCTTCGCACGGCTTGGCAAACGGAGAACTTCGGACAGCTGGGTGAACGCAGCAATGGAAACACCACCATACTTGCCGCAGCCGTCACCCAGATGCTATCGTCCATCGCAGCAATGCAGCGCACACTTCAGAAGCTCGTCGCGGCCCACGAGAGCAAGGCCACCAGCGCTGACGGTCCTGCTCCTTGTCGCTGTGCTGGCCAGGCCCCGCAGGCGAGCACTGACACCGTCGTTGAAGCGCACTCTCTTGCTGGCTGCTTCTACAACTGGTACACACAGGAGCTGTGGCACACGGCAACCCAAAAGAAACAACAGTTTGTTCGCGCTGACCTCAAGGCAGGCGTCAACATCATGATCATAGCAGCAGGGCGAGAGGTAGACGTACCAACGGCGCCACTGGACCGGGACGGCGTCGCGTATCGGCTGTGGAAGCAGCGTGTCTGGACGCTAGCGTAAGACTTGGACAAGAAGGTCAACGCTGCGCTTGGGAGTATCGACGGTAAAGGCCGATCCAAAACCGCGGGGTCGCTACGGAAGCGCTGGAGAAAGCTGCGCGCTGACCACCGCTCTGCGTACGACGCGCCCTGCTCAGCATTTATCACCCGCAAAGCGAACGGTGGCATCGTCGACCGCTGCACACCAGCTAGTCACCAATGGAAGCAAAAAGACTTGGAGTCGTAGGATCACGCAGCTTGTATTAACTCTTAATACATTCCTATTCATACAACATGGATAATCGAATTCAAGGCGCAAATGCACACGTCATCGCCATCCCACAACTTAAGCACAGCGCATGGATTCCCGTCAGTCCCGATACAAAGTCATACACAATAGAAAAACGCTCACATACCGTCAGCGAGCGCGCACGACCTCGTGCTTGGCCGACAGCTACCAAAACCGGCAGCATAACACCCGCCCTGCCGGGTTTTGTAGCTGCTTTCGACGGGTCCTTGCGTGGGGCGCGTGGGGCGCGCCTGGGGGCACTCGGGTCTGGGGTGGTCGGCGGGGGAGGCGTGCGGCACGCTCGGAGCGCGCTGTCGTGTTGGAGATGCGGGGCGGAAAGTGTGAAGGCGGAGAAGGCTGCGCAGCCGGCCAAAAATAAAACCTTAAGGTTTTTTCTTGGCTTTGGAGCCGATAAACCAGTCCATACTTTGTTGAAGTCATTTGGAATCTCACTTATGATTGGCTCTCCTCATTGGGAGCGGCGTTTGGGACCTGGTCGATTAATGTATTCCATGTCACGTCGGAATACAGACATGAAAAAAATCTGATCGTTGATAAAGGCACTGAGTGGGAAGCACATAACCGGGCCATCGAGGTACATGGGTACAGGACCTGCAGGCATTCGTCTGTCTCTAGGTACCAAATGGCACTGAGTCAGGTAATATTGGTACCGAGGTTAAAAAAGAGGGTATTCTATTCAAATAGATTTCATAAATTTCACCAAATGTAGAGATTTTGTTGTGTGGCTCTGAATGCTTCAAGAGCTCTATGTTACACGAATGTTGCAGGAAATAGGAAGTGGTGGCAACGGTCGTTCGAATGTAAAAAGCACTTGGCGAATCTCGTATTGAACAAGAAAACAGTATGATCACCTTGTCGCCTGCTAGTACGGGAGTTGTTGAGGACTAGGTCGCGCCAATCGGGTGTAGAGTTGCGCTAGCAACATTGACGTGCCTACTAAACTACGTTATAAACCTGACAATACTGTGCTACTCTACAAACTGCACGTTACACTAATGGAGAGAGCCTAGACTTGCAGCATTGCCATGACAACGTAAAACCCGCGTATTGTCAACTTCTATTTAACGACGCACCGAAGCGCTCAGTTACGATCTTCGCTCAGTTGGCCAGGCATCCAACTGCCTCACACACGGTCAAATCGACCCTGAAAAGGCGAGTACGCATACAATTCTTAAAGTGCCTGTAGATACATCAATCGAGTATGCATAGTACCTAAAGGTACCCGTACGGTATCTACAGACACACACACACACCAATAGGTACCCTGTCGGTATCTACAGGTACACAGACTATCAGGAACGTACACGTGTGTATTATACGATACGAGCGTCACCCTGAACAGCTTGAATAAGGCTCTGCGCCCACGTATACAACTCGAGGAAGCACCACCGCGTCAACCCTTGATGTTCTTGGTATCCCCGGTCTCAACGCTTCACCACGTCCGTGCAGCCTAGCGCAATCTATCCAGCCGTAGGTCCTGGGTGACCCTTGCGCTTGCGCGGCGCTCTTCAAGCATTTTTGAAATCATGTTGTGGACATCTCGGAGCGTCACGTCCTGGTGTAAAGGATAGGCAGTAATACATTTAAGAACCCCCCTCCCCCCATCGTAGCTATAGCGATAGCACTCACCTCACGCAAACGCTGCATGGTCTGGCAGTTCCAGCTTCGTGTACGTTAACCTGCGAGCAGACGCCCAGGCGCTGAGCAGCGCCTGAGCGCGTCTCCCAGTCATCGCGCAGTCTCAGACACTCCCCCCGACGCTCAGTATACGTGCAGCCTTTGCGTAGTCTCCCAGCCCTCGCTTAGTCTGAGACACCGACTGCCGTTCTGCGCAGTTCTGCCTGCTCTCTCTCTCTGTCAAAGCCGCCTGTACCAGTCCGTGTATTAACCTGCTAGCGATAGACATACACATGAGAGAGCAGGACGGGGGGGAACAGGAGGAGGAGGCGGGGGGGGGGGGGGGCTCGCTCACTATACGTACACGAATAGCTGCCCAACCAGTCACTTGAGGTCCAAACGCGCCAAACTGCAAATGAGAGCCAGTAGAGCCAGTGGATTTTTGGAGGATGGGAGAAAGGGGGAGAGAGGGTGTCAAGATTTCGATTTTTGAAATATCGAAAATCGTCGGTAATTAATTTGCGTAATTTACCGGACTCGTACTGTATCACTCCTTTTAAATACGATCCCACTCAGTGCCTTTACAGTCCACGACACGATCGAGAGGTTTTTTCTAACCCCTACATGTTTTGGTATCACAAAAACCGCCTCGCTTCCCTCATTGCGAAAATGTGCGTCTCACTGTTTAGCACGGCGTCGTTTCCACAGAAACAGCAGTCCAATTTTCCCCAAATTATATAATAACCACCCCATAATATGTGCGCTGATTATAAATCTGCCTTGCATTTGGGCAAATCATTACCACCCCTATGATTTTTCTCGGCCAATGATAAGGCAGTGGATTAGTCGCAGAGTCATGATCGTAGAGAAATGATACTCTGGACGGATGCTCGTTATCCTCATTCTTCCACCGATAGATCGAAAGATGACGTACAGGGCTACAAATGTATCGGATCATATTTCTTAGAATCAGTGTCTAGACTTACTTATGGCTATCTAAAATATTAGCTAGTGTAGTCATCACTAGCACTACTTTCGTCGCTCTCGGAGCTGTTAGAATCCTCGTTTTCACTGCGGCTATCATAACTTTTGATCTGAGCATTCAGATCCACCAAGTGGGCTCTTGCTTTGTCAATGCAGCCTTGAACAGTTTTCGACGACAAAGTTTTGAAAGCTGTATCAAACCGACTTCTGACCTGTTGGAATGTAGTATCCTTGGTGTACTGGCGCCCAACTTCTCCCTTTACATTTGCCCACACATACTCAATCGGCTGTAAATCAGAGTAGTGTGGAGGCGTGAACACTACTTCGTGGCCCTTCTTCTTCGCCATAGTCACAATCTCTGGCTCTACGTGCTCAGCAATGTGCCGTGACAGCTTTTCCCACATGATCGCCCTTGTATCAGATTCAGCGTAAGGCAAGCCATACAACTTACAAGCAGCCTGCATGTCGGATCTCCGACTCCCTTTTCGGGGGTGTTGGGCGGCAACTTCTTGTGATATTTTGCGTTATCCATCACGATGCGGCAGTGGTGCAGTTGGCGGTCTTCCAGACAAACGAGCAGCGTTTCAATCCAATTTTTGAAGTAGTCATGATTGAACATCCCGTGATAATCCTTAGTTTGCTTGCCTCCCTCAAAAATGTCAAGCGTCTCCGGCAAAAACTGTGCTTTGTCAGCCTCGGTATGATCGGCATCCGGGAGGTTACGATATTTGTCGATAATGGTAGCGATAAAGCAAAATCGGCGACCCTTTTGTTTCTCCTTTATCACGTTGGGGTCCGCCGGGTCATAAAGGGAGTCATTATGACTGGAGTAGTTGTGATGTATATAACTTTCGTCGAGATAAACCGTTCGAACGCGATGGGCACTTTCACATGCCATCATCTGCACGTAGCTATCGCGCTTAGCTTCGTTTTCAGCTGACAACCGATATGTCGACCCTTTCCGCTTTCCCCGCTTGAAACCACATCGTTTTACGAAGCGTTGGACGGTGCGGAGTGCTGAGGCCGTAGCGGCACTGTCGGTGACGTCGACGACTAACAACTCTTGCTGTATGAGGTGGTGCATGACGTCCTTGGCTACCGTGCGCTCACGAATCGCGCTGCGCTCACGAATAAACTCGCGCACAGACCTCTCCATATCAACAGTCGCTAATATACGGGACGGCTTCTGCTCACGGTTAGATGGCGCCGATGCCACGGGTAGAGACCGATACTTGGCAAAGTCATTCCAAATCTGACGGACTGTGTTGGCTGAGCGTGACAACAGACGGCCAACTTTGACTGCGAGTGGCTCTTTCTGACCTAATTTGACAGCGCCAGACTTCAAGTTGGCTATGACGATGAGGACGTTAATACGTTCCAGGAGCGTGAGAGCTCTGCCGCGGTTATCTGTTGTGTAAGTTTGAGCTTCTGCGATGATTTCCGCCTCGGCGTCAGGAGTCTCAGTTCGCGCTCTTTTGGATGGAGGCATCTCGATACCAGCGTGCTGGCTTTGGAGCGGTAAAGTGGCTCAGTTGTCATCGAACTGCACAACCCATATTTAGGTTACGGTAACCCCGATTTATCTGAAAAACTGATACTGTAGGCAATATCTAATTTGGCGGGGTACAAGTTTATCCAGTCAAAATAGCCGGATATCATTGGATAATATACAGGTGTGGGTAGGTGACGATAAATGTGCCCTTGAGCGGCCCGTTATTCCGTTATTCCGCAGCTGCGCGCAAGCAACGACGCGAAGAATAGCGACTGCACTAGTTCAACTCCTTGTCGAAGTACCAGCTCCGCCCGATACGTCATTGATGAGCTTCTCCGCAGACGGAAACGGCAAACTGCCCACATCACTTGACTCGAGTCTTGTTTCCACCCACATCACCATCAATTTCTTCCTCGTCCAAACACGAACGCGCCTAATTTCTGCAGCGCTGAGGCGCAGGACGTCGATGGCTGCTCCACCGCAAATGGTCTCCGAAGTACAACGCAGATGTCATTCGGGAGGAGTCCGTTATGAGGAGGGGTTAGTCGCTAAATAGATGGAGGCGAGACTCTCGTAGGGAGGGGGATACGTGAGTTTTCAAAGTTATGCATGGTCGGAGATTGGTCGGAGGGGCTTCATTAGCGCAGATTGGGGCTCATGAAGTCGACCTGAGGTTGGATTTGGATTGAAGTTTCCAGCGGTGATAGTGAGTGAGTGACTAGTGTGGCAATGAAGAGGTGAAAAGGTGGCAGTGTGCGCACGTACCCAGTCGAGTTCCTCCTGCGTGGCGGCCTGGAGTTTGGTGGAGAGGTCGGCGATCTCCTGTTGGCGCGTGTTGAGCTCACTCGCCAGTGACGCCATGGGGCGCTGCTGGTACTGCTTGAGCTGAGTTTCCAATCCTCGAAGGCGAGACAGTTCGGCTCGGAGCTCGTGGATCCGCGTCTGCTGCCGACGGGCTTCAGCCTACAGCGCAAGTACACAAGAACACGTCGGGTCTCGCTCTGTTACGAGCAATAATATTTCTCGTTTGACGAACCTTTTCGAGCTTGTCGTGGCTGATCGACGCCGTCTGAACCTGCAGCTTGCGGCAAAGATCCTCGAGCTCGGCGGCGTTCATGACGTGGATACGCTGCCCTGTGGTGGAGAGCACGTCCGAAGTATCAGATGTAGTTTTCTCTTGGAGCTGCGCGTTTTCGCTCGGCTGTCTCGCTTTCGTAGCGGCCTCGATGCAAGCAGGACTGCAACCATTTCAACGGCAGGATAGCAAGGGAAACAAGTCGTTGTTATGGTTGAGGCAAAACGGTGCTGCACAGTTAGAACAAAGCGGCAAGGTGATGCAAGGAGTTGAAGGCAATACGATTCTGCTCAGAGTACGGCCATACATTGAACGTGTCGTCTCCTGGGGGCGCATATCTTCTGCTTCGATATCAATTTCCTCGGGCATGACTGTTCTTGGAGGAGGATTCCCCATGTCCTCGGCGGTATTGTTATCATTAAGGGTCCCATCTTGCAGGGCGGCGTCTGTTGCTATAAGCTCTTGGATTACGGGTACTGCCAGCATGTCGTCCACTGCGATATCGGAGAAGCTGGCCGGTGGTGGTCGAGAGGCCATGATAACTTGTGCAGTGAAGGCCTGTCCATCAATGCCTTCTCGATCAAGCCGTTTACTAGTGCCCTTTTAACGTCTATCGTCTGGGACTGTAGGCCTTTCGGATGTCTCACCGATCGAGCATGACGAATCTGGGCTGAAGACCATTCGTTTGCAATCTGGGCTGAAGACCATTCGTTTGCAAACGAATGGTGTTCAGCCCAGATTCGTCATGCTCGATGCACTTGCTTCCACCTCACGTCCGTCCAAGGCAGTTTTCTAGTCGTGACCACCAGAAACTCCCATCAACATGTCACTGTGCGCACGCAAAATAGAGAGATACACAAGTCTTCGCGGAATTTCTTCGCCACATTTTACGAATACTAAAAACGAATGTTGGTGGTTCTGGCGTGGGGCAACAGCTTTACTTGCGGAGATGGCTGCTCATCAGGTTAACCTGCTCACATATACACCCAGTGGGAAACAGCACAAATGTTAGCAAATTCAACCTTAGTAGCAAGCAAAAGTTGGATCAGCGTTACCCAGTCGACTTCTTCCATAGCAGCATCCTGTATCTTGCCCCAGAGCTCTGCGATCTTCTCTTTGTGGTACTTCAGCTCGCCCTCCAGCGATTGTTCCGAGCGTTGCTGATAGTTTCTTGATTGCATCTCGAGCTCCTGAAGGCGCGCGAGTTCCGACTGCAGCTCCTGGATCTTCATCTTCTGTTGTCGAGACTCCTCCTGTAAAGCCACAGTTGAGGCACATCAGGTCCTTCCTAGCACAAAATTCTTAACCAAACCGTACCTTCTTCCGCTTCCGATAGCGCCGAGATGCTGTCTGCATCCGCAATTTACGGCGAAGTTCATCGAACTCGGCCCCGTTCATCACGTGAAATCGCTGTCCATTTAACAGGACATGCGACGTTGTGATCGCAGCCGCCGCGCGCATTTTCCTGCGATTTCGCGAAGCTTGTGCGGTCGACCGGGGCGGGGGTGCGACCGGTCTCTGCGCTGCAACTGGTGGCACGGCAAAGGCCGAGACCGTACCTGGGCTTCCACCAAAGAACCGTGCATCGTGTTGTCTGTGCTCATGAGAAACAAAGGGATCAATGTGTTTATGTCGACGAGCAGACCGCTGCAAAGTAAAACTTACATCGTGCGTGGGGTCCAGGGACTCAAACGACCGGCTTGAGGCAAAGACATCATTGCTCTCCCTGGTACACCTTGAGGCCTAATACTCGTCAAGCAAGTCACGCCTAGAGCTGCTTCTGCTGCCTGGTTCTGCTCTTGCACTGCTCTTCTTCCAGTCAGATACTGGCCCTCCTCCTTCTTCTCATCACAGTCGTGAGCTCCCATCACTTGCAGCACCTCCAAGCTCTCGACGCTCTCTCTGTCGTCTTGGCTCGAGTCGTTGATCGAGCTGTGGTTGAATCCCGACAGACTCGAATGATTGTCATTTTTGTTGGTGGTGGTGCTGGTGGTGGTGGTGCTGCTGCAGCTGTTGTTGTTGCTGTTGCCGCTCCTGCTGCTTGCGGCGGTCGACGCGGTTCTATCATCATTGTTGGGGCTGTCCGTGGCCAGGAGCTCCAGAACTTCCTCCATCATGTCTCGATCGCTCGGACTCGGCCCGAAAAGATAGGCAGGCTGTCGCCAAGACATCGGGGACCCCACTTGACTTGATCGTTGCGAGATGAAAAAGCAAATTGACTGATGGGATGTGAGTGCAGAGCGAGCGAAGGTGCGGGCTGCGTGCTTCGAGCAGTGGAATCTGAGACTCGAGGCAAACTACCAGCGATGTCTCCAAAGCCGTTGCTGAATGCTCGATTCTTCCATTGTCATGGGTCACATAAAAAAAATGCAAGGCTGATAACGAGCAGCGCGAACGCAGCGTCTCTGTTGGCGGCTGGGACGGAGCTGCCGCCGCTGCTCTCTTTGCCGCCAAAGCACGGGATCTCCGTCGAAGGAATCCGTTGCAGGGCTTCAAGCAGGTCGGCGTACGGCTCTTGCCACGACGACGTCTGCATCAACCCGTAGTGCGTCACCGCCATCGTCCCAGCTTGGCCGTCCCCCGAGTCCTCCGAGTATCTCTCGACGTCCGGATTCAAGGCGTAAAAGTATCCGCCTTGAAGCGGTGCGACCACCAAGGCGATAAGATAGCCCTGCGCGGCCGTTTGATGTGGCTGCGCTGCTCCGTTCACAACGCTAAACGCGCCCAACCTTCGGCGGAGGAGTCCTGGATCGCTGGTATTGCCGGCACCTCATCTAATGCAATGCCGCTGAAACTCACCAGTAGCCATGGCGTTTCGCTAGGCAATCAATGTGCGAGCTCCAAAACTGTGAATAGGCAAGTGAAGGCGCCGCGCGAGCTCGCCCTGTCCTTTTTGGCGTCGATTGTCAGGCCCAATAAACGGCATGACGAATCCATGATCCTCTTGAAAAACTAGTTATCGGATTTTACTTATATTCGGTTGTAATTGAAGCTATGATCGGGGATTCATGATAGTAAATTGTTGACTGGAGCTGAATTAGCAAACTGGACACTCAAAGGACAAACGCGAAGGGAGCAGGAGCAGCTGCATTTTCAGTTGCGCAGGTGGCAGCTCATCATCGCGTTAATCTGACGGACATGGCAACACAGAGGAAGAAAGAAACCAAAGAGCAACAAGGTCAACAAAGCGCCATCAACAACAGGAACAGGACTCGCCAAGCACTCCTTACCCAGTCGGCTTCTTGCTTAGCTGCATCCTGCATCGTACTCGATAGATCAGCGATCTCCTTCTGGTGGAGCTTCAGCTCCACTTCCAGCGATTCTGGCGACCGTTTCTGGTAGTCTCGTGACTGCGCTTCGAGCTCCTGCAGGCGGGAGAGCTCGGAGTGCAGCTCCTGAATCTTCTTCTTCTGTTGTCGAGACTGCTCCTGCGCGATTGCCAGCATTCAATAAAGCTGTCAGTGAGCCTGATGAGCCCTCCTAGTTTGCACGCAGGCGTACCATTTTGCGCTTGCGAAAGCGACGAGAGGCTTTCTGTGCCCGCAACTTACGGCGAAGCTCGTCGAACTCGGCACCATTCATCACATGCACGCGCTGCCCATTGGAGAGGACATACGCCGTTGCTGTCGCAGCCGCAGCTCGCATGTTCTCGTGCACTTCACGCAGAGGTTGCGAGGCGAGCCGTGGTGGGGGTGCACTTAGCAGCTGGGCCGCCACGCGCGTCAAACTTGGTCCGATCAGTGTCGACGCTGCAGCAATCCGGCCGGGGCTACCAGCAAAGATTGGGGCATGGTTTTGTCAACAAACCGAATCGACAAGCGTATCAAGAACTGGCTTACATTGGGCGTGACGGCCACGGACTCTTAGCTGGCTGTAGAGCCATCATCGCTCTCCCCGGCGCAGGTTGGGGCCTAATTCCCAACAAGCACCTACTACCAAATGCAAAACAAAACAAAAAAACTCGTCAGGCTGGTGATCTCCGAACGAGGTGGTAGCAACTTCCTCAGGAAAAAATAAACGTTCGAGGTTAGCGCACAAACACCCGTGTTGGGAAGCAGGAGTCGCATACATTGACGACAACCGCTGCCCCTCGCCTAGAGCTGCCTCTGCTATTTGCGTCTGCTCCTGCACTTCTGCCTGTCCTGCAGCTCTTGGCCAGGCACCAAGTAAAATTCCTCCCTCGTCTTCTTTCCGCAGTGGTCGTTTGAGCACAATGCTTTCCCGATCCGAGACTCCACCTCTTGCCAGGTCTCTGAGCTTTCGCCGCTGTCTTGACTCGTGTCGTTGATCGAGCCGTAGTCGAATCCCGACAGACCCATTGCTGTTGTTTCCGCTGCTCAACGCGACACTATTGTCGTCGTTAGGGCTGTCCGTGGCCAGCAGCTCCAGGACTTCCTCCATCATGTCATGGTCGCTCGGACTCGGACCGGCCATGTATCGCCAAGACATTGTTTGAACGCGAGGAAAGAAGGCGACTGGCGGGGAGTGGGCGGAGAAAATGCGGGCTGCATGTTTCGAGCGGTGAAGTCTGAGACCCGTGTCCGAAGCCGTTGAGAAAAAAATGTACTCGTCCCGTGGGTCACAGCAAAATGGCGATGCCTTGTAGGGCAAACGCAGCGTCTCTGTTTCCAGTTGGGCCGGACCAAAACCACGGGATCTCAGTCGACGGCATTCATCCCCATTCACATGTCAACCTGTACAAGTATTCGCCTTGAGCCAATGTGGCCAAGGCGATGAGGTAGTCCGTAGTGCCCGGAGTCGTGATGTGCTTGTACGAACCGCAGGCGAAGAGAGAGCCAACGCGGTGCGCCGAGCTTGCTCCCGGTCGCTCGATCCATTCAAAGGTCCTTGAAATGAGGTCGTCTTCGCGCACGCGCGCGGAGTCTGGCTTGGAAACAGCACTATTGTACGGCTCCATTCAAAAACCCGAGAGCGCACTTCATGAAATTGAGAGCCGACTTTGAGATTACGTCGTACTGCTACACGACCGACAGCAACTGTACCGACGATATAGGCAGCTTGAGCTGTCTGCCAAGCACTATGTCAATGGAACCAAGGTCGCAATCTTGAGGTTGCCGCTGTTCCAGTGTCTGCGAGTCCGTAGTCCTTATCGACGTGGAAGCGCTGAGCATCCGTGAAGGCCAACCAATACGAGCGACTGCGGACAGTTCCGCTTGAGCACGGCGGCGGCAAATACATTAGCGACTTGGTGTCGGACTTGGATACTTAATTGGAGACGTTGGCGTTCCATCGCGTTTGGCGACTGAGGGCGGGGGCATTCTGCTTCTTCGCCAGCTTTCGCGTCTGCGGCTTCTTGTTTGCCAACTTTGTGCATGTATTCGACCCGTCAAAGCCCGGGGGTCCTTGCACGGAGCCTTCTCCGCTGATGCCTGAAGCGCACTGAAACATCAGCCCGGAGGTCGGCAGGGCGTGCCAGCTCCTGGCAGGACTTAGGCATACCTTAAAAGGAAACTCCTCCAGCTCTGCAGTGCCATTCATTTTCCCCTTTTATTTGTTTGATCTCTTCCGGTAGATGAAAGTTTTACTTTAGCGCAAAGTCAGCGAGGAGCACCAATCGATCACCTACGAGCGTCTCACTGGCAGTCGGAACAGGGCCGCTCAAAACCCAGCACCTTCAAAGGGATCTCCAACACGCCGTCGTTGATGCGCAACGTCAAAATGATGTTGAACGTTCGAAGCTGCGTCGGAGCGAAATTTTACCACTAGACTTTGGGATTGCAGCATGTCCACACGCACCGTTCGAGGGCTTGCAGCATAGTGACCGACCACAAAATATCCGCGCGATCGTGTGAACGAACGTCGCCAAAGGCCAGCGGCGGAGTCGGAGTGAGTTGCAGCCGAGGGAGATACGTCTTGGTAGAAACCTCAAAGGTTAAGTGTTGAGCTTGTAAGTCCTCGAAAAACGATGGACGCGAAGGCGCTCAGCGGTTGTACTGGAGCATGAAGGGAGAGCTCGACGAATCCAAGCTGCTGCTGCCGCCTGATAAAGCTCCACAGCCAGTGGCATTCTCGTTATCAAACCCCGTGCCGCCCTGCTTCCGCTCTATTTGTTGAATTTCTTCTGAAGTCTTCGCTCTTGGGTTATACACAAACGTGGCGAGAGCTTCACTGAAGAGTTCGACGTAGCCGCGTTCTTTGCGTCGTCCGTACACTTCTCGGTCGTCCTGAACTCCTGTAGCTGGACCTTCTTCGCCTCCAAACCAGTCGATGTCTTGAGCGTCAGCGGCCCATTATTCCTCAGCAGCGGCTCGACTGTCCGCGCAAGCAACGACGCGAAGAATAGCGACTGCACGGGCTCAAGACCCTGTCGAAGTACCAGCTCCGCTCGACGCGTCGATGAGCTTCTCCGCAGACGGAAACGGCAAACTTGCCCACGTCACTTGACTAGAGTCTTGTGCCCACACCACCATCAATTTCTTCCTCGTCCTCCCAGATAGGGATGCGCATAATTCCTCGCCGACGCGCAGGCCGTCGATGGCTGCTCCACCGCAAATGGTCTCCGAAGTACAACGCAGATGGGGACGCGCCCGAGAGGCGTCCGTTACGATGAGGGGGCCCCTCAGAGGGGTTAGTCGCTAAATAGATGGAGGCGAGACTCTCGTAGGGAGGGGGATACGTGAGTTTTCAAAGTTATGCATGGTCGGAGATTGGTCGGAGGGGCTTCATTAGCGCAGATTGGGGCTCATGAAGTCGACCTGAGGTTGGATTTGGATTGAAGTTTCCAGCGGTGATAGTGAGTGAGTGACTAGTGTGGCAATGAAGAGGTGAAAAGGTGGCAGTGTGCGCACGTACCCAGTCGAGTTCCTCCTGCGTGGCGGCCTGGAGTTTGGTGGAGAGGTCGGCGATCTCCTGCTGGCGCGTGTTGAGCTCACTCGCCAGTGACGCCATGGGGCGCTGCTGGTACTGCTTGAGCTGAGTTTCCAGTCCTTGAAGGCGAGACAGTTCGGCTCGGAGCTCGTGGATCCGCGTCTGCTGCCGACGGGCTTCAGCCTACAGCGCAAGTACACAAGAACACGTCGGGTCTCGCTCTGTTACGAGCAATAATATTTCTCGTTTGACGAACCTTTTCGAGCTTGTCGTGGCTGATCGACGCCGTCTGAACCTGCAGCTTGCGGCAAAGATCCTCGAGCTCGAAGGCATCCATGATGTGGACATGCTGCCCTGTGGTGGAGAGCACGTTGGACGCGCAGGGGCTCAACTTTTGCGGCACATTCTTCGGTGTTGGTGCCTCTGGTTCCCCTCCATCAGCTACTGCAGGTGCCACCGTGCTAGCTGGACTGCAATCATTAGAACGGAACACAACAAGGGAAGATGGAGATGTCGTCAAGAATTGGGCACGAACGATGCTCCGTGGTTAGCACGTAGTCTTGAAGCAGTAAGGTGATGCAAAGGAGCTCAAGGCAACACGGTGCGGCTCAGCAACAGGGCCATACATTGAACGAGTGGTCTCCTGAAGGCGTAAATCTTCTGGTAGCTGCCTCTCGATATCCATTTCCTCAGCAGGGATGGATACCCCCGGGGCCCTTTCGGCGCTCAGCGTGGCGTTGGCGGGCTCTTCTTGCATGGTGGTGGGAGCGTCTGCTGTTAAAAGCTCTTGGATTTCTGGCACTGCCAGCACGTCGTCTACTGCGATGCCGCAGAAGCTGACCGGTGGTGGGGGTCCAGACGCCATGGCACGTATTGGGTCGGTTGGCCACACACTTGCGTAATGGGCAAATGAACTAAAAGCAACATGCACCTGTCAATCCCGCCAGTGTCACGTTTGATGTCGGATCGTCTGGGACTGCAGTCAATGTCTCACCAATGCAGCATGACGAATTCAAGACTACTTCTAGTCGAGATCGCCGGTTCTCAACAACAAACTGGTTAACCGAAAAATGTTTTAACATTTGTATCACTTAAAAGTGAAAAAGGAAATCCGTTGTCACTGAAGTCACGAAAAAATGTCACCTCTTCACTTAAGGAAAAAAAAACACTCAAGAAATCATTGAAAACAACTATCGGTGTAGCATCTTCACTAACGCAGGTGGCTGCTCATCACGTTAACCTGTGCAAAACATCACAGCGATCTGGTGTCAGTAGATCCAGTAGCATCCGTCATAGCCGAACCATTAGATCATTACCCAGTCGACTTCTTCCTTGGCGGCATCCTGGATCTTTCTCGACAGGTCGGCGATCACCTCCTTGTGGAACGCGAGCTCTCCCTCCAGCGAATCTTGCGAGCGTCCTCGATAGTTCCGCGACTGCATTTCGAGCTCCTCCAGACGAGAGAGCTCCGACTGCAGTTCCTGGATCCTCGTCTTTTGCTGTCGGGACTCCTCCTACTCAACCAGGAAAACCACAAATGAGCATGATCAAGCCATGCACGTTTGCAATCAAAGCGTCCTACCTTCTTGCGCTTCCGATAGCGCCGAGAAGCTGTCTGCATGCGCACTTTACGGCGAAGCTCGTCGAACTCGGTCCCGTTCATCACGTGGACACGCTGTCCACTTGGCAGGGTATGTGACCTATTAGCTGCCGCTGCCGCCGCTGCTCGCGCTGTCATGCGTGAAGACACCGTTGCTTCACGCAAGGTGAGTCGTGGCGGAGTTGCAACAGGCAGCTGGCCAGGCACCAGTGGCCCGACATCGGTCGATGCACCAGCAGGCATACTTGGGTTGCCAGCGAAGAATCGAGCATCGTGCTGCCTACAGAACACGGAAACACGTGAACCCCGAGCTAAGATACGAGTATAGAATAGATGTCGTACATTGAGTGGGTGGGCCAGGTGCCCAACCGATTGGTCTGGGGTATCATTGTTCCCCCCGGCGATATTTGGAACCTAAATTGCAGGAAGCACAACACCAAAACACGACAACAACGGAGGGAATTGTTAGTTAGTGAGGAGAGGCCAGTGGGTGAGATGTGCCACCAGCTTTTGTTTTCAGAAAGGGGAAAACAAAATTTCAAGGTTAGCGCCGTAGGGAAGTAGGGGGTCCATACATTGACGACATCTGCTGAGCCACGCCTAGACCTGCCTGCTTCTGCTCCTGCGCTGACCTGCGTTGAGACGCCGCGTGAATTGCTTGCATCCCCACTTCCTCGCCACCGTCCCCATTGGGACCAGCAATCTGCTCGCTCCGAGGGTCAATCACTTGAATCATCTCCAAGCTCTCCACGCTCCTTTGGTCATCATTGCTCGTTGAGCTGTGGTTGAATTCCGACAGACTCGAGTGATTGTCGTTATTGTTGGTGGTGGTGCTGCTGCAGCTGTTGTCGTTGTTGTTGTTGTTGTTGCTGCTGCTGCCGCTCCTGCTGCTTGCGGCGGTCGACGCGGTTCTATCATCATTGTTGGGGCTGTCCGTGGCCAGGAGCTCCAGAACTTCCTCCATCATGTCTCGATCGCTCGGACTCGGCCCGAAAAGGTAGGCAGGCTGTCGCCAAGACATCGGGGACCCCACTTGACTTGATCGTTGCGAGATGAAAAAGCAAATTGACTGATGGGATGTGAGTGCAGAGCGAGCGAAGGTGCGGGCTGCGTGCTTCGAGCAGTGGAATCTGAGACTCGAGGCAAACTACCAGCGATGTCTCCAAAGCCGTTGCTGAATGCTCGATTCTTCCCTTGTCATGGGTCACATAAAAAAAATGCAAGGCTGATAACGAGCAGCGCGAACGCAGCGTCTCTGTTGGCGGCTGGGACGGAGCTGCCGCCGCTGCTCTCTTTGCCGCCAAAGCACGGGATCTCCGTCGAAGGAATCCGTTGCAGGGCTTCAAGCAGGTCGGCGTACGGCTCTTGCCACGACGACGTCTGCATCAACCCGTAGTGCGTCACCGCCATCGTCCCAGCTTGGCCGTCCCCCGAGTCCTCCGAGTATCTCTCGACGTCCGGATTCAAGGCGTAAAAGTATCCGCCTTGAAGCGAGGCGGCCAAGTCGATGAGATAGTCCAGCACGGCCGTTTGATGGGGCTGCGCCACCCCATAGACACCGCTAAAGGCGCCCAACACGAGCGGAATTTTCCGTTGAGCGCGCAGATCGCCCAACGCCTCGCGCATAGCGACCTCGTAGTGCAGCAACGTCTCCGGCACCGAAATGTGCTCGTACGAGCTGCAGGCAAAGTGCGAGTCGCTGCAGCCGAGCTTGCTCTCAGTCCCCGTGCCGTTGAGGTAGTCGACGCAGCGCGTCTCCTTCTGCTCCGCCGTCAGCCCAAGCTGCTCGAACTGCTCCACGTCGTCCGTGCAGTTGCTGTCTGGTGTGTAGAAGTAGTTCTGAGGGCGGACGCCGTGCGCGTGCGCGTGCGGAGCAAAGACGATCTTGTGGTCGACACTCACGTTGAGTGGATTGAGGGTTGCGTTCTTGAGGTTGCCGCCGTTCCAGTGGCTGCTGAGCGCGTAGTCCTCGTCCACGCGGAAGCGCTGAGCGTCTGTGAAGGAGCTCGCGCCCCCAACGAACACGAGCCACTGCGGACAGCGCTCCAGAACGGCGTTGGCCAAGACCTCAGCAGCGTTGTGCCAGTCGGTCGTCTCGTCGGAGTCTGAAGCGTTGGCATTCCACTGCGCTCGCAGCATCTCGTCCTTGAGGTCGACCCCGATGATGTTCCAGAAGCGCGTGCCACAGAGCTTCTCGGCGAGGAACGTGACGGCCTTGTAGGCGCCCGACTCCGTGACGTTCACGAACGGGTTGGTGTACCAGAAGGCGTCCTGCTCGTACTTGGTGAGGCGGTGGATATCCAGCAGCACCGTGAGCTTGCGGTCCTGCAGCGTCTCGACCACTCGAGCGAGGAAGTTGATGTAGTCGACGGCCTCCGGGTCGTTCCAGGTCGTGAGCTCCGGGTTCTCGTACGCGTGGATGTAGGAGACGTGCGGCTTCGGGTTGGCGTTCACGTAGTCGGCGTTGAGCGAGAGGCGGATGGAGTTGAAACCGTTAGAAACGAGGAACTCCTGCAGAGTGCTGATGGTCGTGGCCTGGGTGCCCTTGGAGTTGGGGCTCTCAGTGCCCCATAGCCCCTCCGGGATCATGTCGATCTTCTCCATGCCGCTCCACGACACGCCCTTGATACGGATCTCCGTTTGCACCGACGGGTCCATTGGGTCCACCGCCAGGATCTTGCCCCCTTTGGCCAGGTAGTTGGGCTGGCGGCACTCTAACCAACAGGAAATGGTTAGTCGCATGCGTGGCACGACTAGTCCGACGTTGCATGACGTACCCAGAAATCCGTGAACGGAGTGAGCGAGTGCTACAAGAGCAAGAACTGGAGCTGAGAACCGCATTGAGAGAAGGTGGATGGAGGCTGGAGGAGATTGAGGAATGAGGAAGGGACTGGGGTGACTGCACGTGCACGTGTGAAGGACTCGTGGCCCTGGGTGCAACCGCTTGAAGTTGTCATGGTAACGATTAAATTAATCGCTCATGCAACTCTACATCCACTTCAGTGTAGGATATCATACGAATGTCAGCCGGAGAGGGTGAAACTCAGCGTCATAGAGCAGACACTTACGAGCGTTCCGAGCAAGTGCTTCTGGATATCTACAGTATCAGCTTAGGCGTTCCAAGTTTTGACAGCATCAATTCACAAAGCGAAACCACTGGAAAGACAGCTCTCTACGACTGGAGAAACTACCCAGAGTAAAACTTCTTAATCGTTGAAATGAACCCCTTCATACAAAAGCACAGCATTTGTGTGTGTGAGAGAGCTAACACACAAACGTACAGACACAAATCCTTTGAAAACGCTTACCGTAGTGCCCCACGGGCAAGTGCAAAATGAAGATGGTCCAAACAAAGAGATGGCCTTACAACGCGTGCGCATGGGTCTCCAGCACAAAAGCCAGTTGATACAGTGGCGAGATCCCAAACTTCCTCTGCAGCAAGACGACAAGCACCACAAATCCAGCAAATTCCACCATCGCGAACATGAAAATTCCAACGATCGCCAGTTTTTCTACTCCGAAAAATGACATGTGCGGGTAGTACATCGCCACTGGAAGCTACGAAAGTAGCAAAAGTGTGACCGGGTCACACAGCACAATGCACAGAGGAAGTGCGTGCGGATATTACTATCCAGGTGAACAGCAGTTCACCAGTTCCCGGCCTCAAAGGGAACGGTTTGCTACAAAGGAGTAGGTTATAAGACTGACTGTATTTTGGTAGAGGTTAACTTGGTCGTAATACAAACTACAAGTTAACTATACAAAAGCCCACACAAACTCAAATGGTTGGCTTGCGGAGCTACTGGTACCATGTACCATGTACTCGGGAGAGTGACACCGTCACTCTTCATGTAATGGGTACACTTGATTGTACCCCGTTACATCCTCCCCCACTTATCTGAGAATCACATCTGATTCTCCAATCAGCTTCGAGAGAATCCGAACACCCAAAGGTCGGATTCTCGGGCGCTGCCGCCGCAAGGCTGGCGCGCCTCATCGTCACGCCCACAGTGACTTGTGCCCGCAGCGGGCACCCCGCGCGGAACCCCCCTGCCCTCGGCGATGTTGGCCGCGATGCCGACGTGTTTAGTGGCCGTATTCACAGCGCTAGCAGGCGCAGAGTGCCTCGGCACGGGATGCATGTGCCTCCAAACTTGCGGTGTCCCTCGTAGACAACCAGCAGTTGGCGTCGCATGGCCCTCGGGCCCCGCTGGCACGTTCATGCTGCAGTGCCTCCCGCGAGGGACAGCACCTATCCGGTCAGCGCGTAGCGTAACCATGGAGAGAGCTGTGCTGCTCATCTTCGGCCATGACAGCGGCCCGACAGGGCCCCGCTCGTCACAGCACGGTGTGCCGGTCGGCCGAATACGTCGGCTCGACCCATGGGCTATGGTCAAGCGCTGACCACAGCCATGAAGCGTCATGCTTTAACGTCGTGTTTGCTAGAGCGACCATGGCTGCTTCCAGCAACCCGCTCATCATAGAGAGCAACGCGGCGGACTTGTCTAAAGCCCTGCAGCGCGTCACGGCCATCACGTCGCCGACGCTAAGGTGTCTTCCTTCGACACCAGGGTACCGCAAGGGTACTTCATCGTGGTGTGGGGTGTATTGCCCTCCGTCACCGGCGATCGCATCCTGCGTCGCGGCGAGGTGTGCGTGCAAGACCGCATGGCACACAGTCCATACAGGACCTCAAGGTGTACGAGAGCACCACCTCATACACCAAAGGCATGTCGTGTATGGCACGTACCACGACTGCCATAAGTGTCTCGTGCACCTCAAGTGCCACGTGCACAAGTAGTGTCGCGTGCACTAGGGGTACCTCGCGTACACCAAGTGCCACGCGCACAGTGAGCGTCAGGCACCGCGACTATCTCACAGGTTGTATGTGCCACGTGCATGCGTATGGCTTCGCGCCTTACAGGTGCGGCATGTGCCGCGCCAACTATGAATGTCTGCAAAGGCAACACGTTCGGGTTCTCCCCTCGTGGGCAACACCCATGCTCGGGACTGATAGCTACCTGGCCGGCAGACGTGCCGCGTCCAGCGTAGCAACAGCCTGGAGCTTTGGCGTGGTGCTGATGGCTACCTGGCCGGTAGACGTACCGCGTCCAGTGTTGCAACAGCAGCACGCTGCGGCATGGTGTTGCGTATGTACACATGCCATCGTCCGCGGACCAAGCCGCAGACTGGCAGCCATGTCTTTGCCTGACGGAGGCAGCCTTCCAGCAGCGAATGCGCGCGCCATCTTCGGCCCAGCAGCGACAGTAGCCGCTGCCAAGGTTGCTGGCCATCGATCACCATGACCATGGGACCTGAGCAGCGATGCATCAGGTCCAGCACCTTCGTGCAATACTTCGTGAGTGGCTACACCATGCAGCCACTACACTGGCCTCTACGACGAAGCAAGTCTCATGCCAGAGACCTCGGGAGGAAGGGCACTTCCGATCCCCTCCCCCACTTACGATTTGAGCCCCGGCGGGTCAGGCGCCACCCGGCCGCCTAACCTCGCGCCGCCCTGCAGCACCGAGTCACCGTGCCAGCAGACTCTGGTGGCACGGGCAGCTACCCTTCTTTGGCTCTGGGTCAACATCGTCGATCAGGGCTTGGCATCTACCAGCCTATATGCAGTTTGAGTCTGCGTAACTTGACGTGTTACTCTGTTACCCACGTCTTCTGGCAATGACACCCATGACAGCGTACGGCTTGTCCTGCATTCAGAGTAGCTGCATGGCATGCACGCATACTCAGACTCAGCCATCTCGGCACCGAGTCATGGACACTTGTTGTCCCAACGCCGCACAGTGCTAGGCGCGACAGACCGTACAACGATCCCTGCCGCGCAGCGGTCTTTCTTCAGGCCGAGCATGCTCCTGCATGTGGTCATTGAGATGTCGCCCTCCGGCAGACACGTTTCAGTCGTGATCGACCATGCTCGCCGAGTCGGCGGCGACGCAACATGCATCGCCGCAGGTACGTCGTGTACCCAAGCCACGTCTTCTGTGCGCATGGCCACAGCTGCGCTGGTCGACACCCAGTCGAACGTCATCCATGATGACTGGGTGCCAAGCCCTTGGAGGTAGGAAGTGCTTCCGCGCACTCCTCCCCCGCTTAAAATCAAAGCCGCGCGGCGCCTTCAAGAGGACCGTGCGGCTATGACATCGTGACGGTGTCACGAGCCTCTTAAACTCCGTGTGGTCATCCACCACACGCGAGGAGACCCAAGTGACCTGATCACTAGTCTTGGTCATACTGACCGTGCGTGGAACTAAGTTACCCACGCTGAAGTCGCTTCGAGCGACTCCTTCCGGCTCATGCGGAGCCTTACGGCATCGTGTGGAACTACGTTACCCGCACAGGAAGCGCATCATGTGGCTTCACAATCCGTTACCGTCTGAGTGACGCGTGTGGAACTATGTTACCCACACAGGAAGTGCATCGTGCACCTTCCTCATCAGTTTAGGTCTGAGTGACCTGGTGTGGAACTGGGTTACCCACACAGGAAGTGCCTGAAGCGCCTTCCTCTTCAGTTAAGGTTTGGGCGACCGTCCGTGGTACTTGATTACCCACGCCGGAGGTGCCTTGAGCGGCCTCCTCAGAACTTCATGCTCTGTGCGGAACTAAGTTACCCGCTAGTCAGTGGTCCTTGGTTACCCACCTGGTGGTGTCATCGAACACCACCCTTGTCAATGTTCATACCGAGCAATGACTCTCAGCACTGGAGTTGCCTGTTGAGGCAGCTCCACATGCCAGGCATAACAGCCCTCGGTTGCAGATACACTGCACCTTCTTCATGGAGATCAGCATGTCAATGATGCCTCCCTTCTTCTTCTTCGTCTTGTCGGACGCATCCAGCGCCCTGGCGGTCCCATCGGACGCCCTTGTGTCTGTCCAGAGGTGGGAACATGACTCACCAATGCTCTGTCAGACACAGAGGGTCGACTTAGCCTCAAGGCGTTGTCGCGCTACTCGACTGAGAGCCTGTGCAGCTTGCACGGCGCACTCAGGGCCAAGTCATACTTGCTCAAGCCGAGGGCATATACGGTTCCATGCCCAGGGCCGGCTTCGGCACGATGTCCGGGACGATGTACGGTTCCATGTCCGGGACCATGTGCGGTTCCATTGCTGTCAGCGCCCTCGAACGCGGCAGCCAGGGTCACAGCGGACCCCAAGGTTCTTCTTCGGCCCAGCCTCAGTCAATGAGACCTGACCTTGTGCTTAGACTCTCTCGCAGAGTCTTGGCAGTTGTGTCGTTATTCCAACCGACATATCTGGCGACGTGCGAACATCCACGCGATGTCCCAGACTCAATCATAGCTAGGGATACCATTACCCCCGCACACTCACGTGTACTACCGACAACCCATCGTTGTCCTTCACCAATGCAAGCGTCAGTGCTCGCAAGGGACCCCGGGTCTCTGTGGTGTACGCGTTCCGTACACCCATCACAAAGACTCGGGCCAACCCCAGCAAGGCACTCGTCCTTACTGGTGGTTGTGTCCCTCTTGAGCACCTGACGGTTCATGGCGTCGGCGCCCCTTGACCCTCTGGTCTTCGGGTAGGTCTTCTTCCCAGACCCAGGCGATGGGCAGACACGTTGATAGTGTCCTAGTCCGCCGCAGCCGTAGCAGCGGGCTGAGTACTGCTCAGCCGAACTCAGATCCATGGGTTCTGGTTCGCTGTCAGCGACCACAGGCTGTACAACAGCCAGAGCACCAGGATGCTTGTGGCTGTACTCTTCCTGGAGGGCGACTTGGATCGCCTCTTCCATAGTGGCGGTGCGCACGCGGAACAACTGCGTGCGCGCAGAACCGACCTTCAGGCCGTCCACGAAGACTGTCATCTTGACGTCTTCCGACAGTGGGTTCCCCACCAGCGAGGTTGTCAATGTGGGTATCTCCTGTATGTACGCGTACAGCTCGCGCTCCCCTTGTTTGCAGGCAAGGAAGCGCGAGCGCTGGCGGAACTCGTTGTTCACCGGGAGAAAAGCGGCTCGAAGCTGCTCACACACCTGAGCCCAGGATGTGAAACATCCAGGCGACATCGCTTCGCGCGTATACGCCCAAGTCTTGGCACGTCCGCCAAGATTGGAGAGCGCGAAGGCGACTCGAAGGTTCTCGGCCGAGGTGAGACCTGTGCTCATTGCGACCTCGGTCTCCCGGATCCAGAAGTGAAGGTTCTCACCTTCCTTCCCTTCGAACGGAGGCACAGCTAGCCGCAGAGGCTTAGGCTGCACCCGTTTGGGCTCACTCATCTGAGCCAGCGGGTTTCCCTGCACATGAGCGATGCGCCCGCGGTCGTACTCGTCAAACGCGCTCACCCGCTCGACCTGCTCGGCTGGCGTCGCTGCCGCCAAGCTCCGTAGGGCATCTCTTCCGAAGATGCCCACCATCTTCCACACCGACTCGAACTGCGAGTCAGTCAAGTGAGGAAACTCACTTCGGTCCATCGTGGCTCACAGACCTGAGCCATCGAGGATTCAGGTAGACCAATCTACCCGCGTATGCGTAGGATTGACTACGAGTGCTACCAAGTGTGACCGGGTCACACAGCACAATGCACAGAGGAAGTGCGTGCGGATATTACTATCCAGGTGAACAGCAGTTCACCAGTTCCCGGCCTCAAAGGGAACGGTTTGCTACAAAGGAGTAGGTTATAAGACTGACTGTATTTTGGTAGAGGTTAACTTGGTCGTAATACAAACTACAAGTTAACTATACAAAAGCCCACACAAACTCAAATGGTTGGCTTGCGGAGCTACTGGTACCATGTACCATGTACTCGGGAGAGTGACACCCGTCACTCTTCATGTAATGGGTACACTTGATTGTACCCCGTTACAAAAAGGTAGACCACGTAGAAAATCGGTAGTGCAAACTCGACGTACTCGGCCAAGAGTAGGTATTCCGCCTGAAAGAGAGCGCGAAAAGCTGCGAGAAATCGAGTATGATTTCGAGGATAACGTAGTCTGCAGCAGCTGTGGGTTGGCTGTGACTGAGTAATGAAGTGGTGGTTGAGGACCATGGCTACTCGAAGGGACCCGAGGGTTTCTGAGAATGACTCCTGCATGCGTGCAGTTGTTGTGATTGGCTGAGGCCAATGTAGTCAGGAAGAGTCCACGGGGTTTTACTGCTTGCGGAGCTTTCCCCTGCAACAACACTTGAAGTAATAAACACATCCCAATTTGACCCACACCAAGCAAGTCGCTCCTGTTTTATGATCAATCTACTTGTAGCTGTGTTACTGAAGCTCTCCTGCTCCTCGATGCGGTCGACGGGCAGGATTCCAATGTACTCCATGGGACTGAGAGTCTCATAGGTTATGAGCCCAAAGCGTGAGCGCTTGTGGGTATGCTGTTGCAAGTGATGTTTGATCAGATTGTACATTCGTTCGAGTGCTGGCACTGTGACCGGTGGAAAGATCATGGTAAGAAGCGTCGTGGTGTAGACCGAGTAGGACGCCGCCGAGCTTGAATGGCAGTTGGCGGCGTTGGCTGACCAGAGGTTGGTGCACAATTGGACGTTGGAGGGGACGTCATGCATCCAGATGCATCGAAATAGATATTGGTTGTATGATTTGTGTAAGCAAGAGCCAGAAATTGGAGAATATTTTTATCTGTTGCTAGTTTACTGGTTCATCTGTTGCGGGCAAATCAGCGGAAAATCTGTTGCCCGAGTTGGTTTATCTGTTGCGTGGTGTAGGGGACGAAAACAACAGGTTTTCAGTACCGAAATCCTGCAACAGATTACACGTCGAGTTGACTAGGTATATCTGTTGCCTAGGTGATTACTTGTTGTGCCCATGTATCGAGTAAGAGCACCCCCGCTATTGCTCAGGAAGGTGATACATGAACTTGTGGTATTCCGTTTCGGGGACTATGGCGAGCTCAGCGGTCTGATACGGATTTATTCTGCGCTAGTCATTCCTTAACTTTTCAAGCAGCTTGAGTTACTGCTGCATGTAGATGATAACTTGCCGTTCCCCTTAGAGGCTAACGAGGCCTGTGACTTCTGACGCAGGCGTGCTACGACAGGTATGGCAAGTCAACGTCGCCATGGGTGCGCTCTTGACGTCCACGCCTATCCCGAAGAGTGTGTGACCTATTCTAATAAAGCGCACGAGGTGCTACTGGACTAATTGGTGCCAGGGATGAGTTACAGCTTCTTCAGTGTTTCCAAGGATTTACCAGCAGACCACGCGCTTACGGGTCGATCCACGAGGTGAAGGATCACTGCGGTGAGCGTCACGTTGTCCTCCTAGTCATCGTGTGAGTCATTACGATCAGAGCGGTCATAACGACCCCCATAGCCATCATCACAGTAACAACGGCCTTGGCCGTAAGAGCGGTAGCCCTGAGGGTGCCCCAGCTCGGAGCCTGCAAACCCACCCTTTGCGAGGGGAGTATGCGAATTTTGAACTCTCTATTTCGCAAGCACTGCAGCAGTTCCGAGAGAAGCTAGGGGAGGAGCAAGCGCGGTCAAGGAAATTAGAGGGGCAGTTAGCAGCCGCTGAAAACGAGCTGACCGAACTCAGGAATTTTGATCTCCCAGACAACGATATAACTATCGCGTTGAGGAAGGAGTTGCGGAATTCGATTTTACAACTAGCCGAGGAGAAGGCGATTTCAAGTGGCTTGCGCAAGAAACTTGCCCATGTGGAAACTGAGTTGAATTTGTCGAAGCAATCCGTCGCCACGCACGCAGACAATCTACTTAAGGCGCAGGCTAGCCATGCTAAGAAACTCCAGAATGTGCACGAAGACATGAACAACCTCACGAGAGAGGTGGACGCGCGCAAGAAAAAACTGGAGGACCGGGAGAACGAGGTCGCGAGAGAAGAATATGGAGAACAAGGAGGAAGAACTACAAGTCAAAGCCGAGGAGCTGCAATCGCATGAGGCCAAGCTCAAAGAGGAGGGCCGGCGTCTCCAGAACGTAACGCATCGCCTGCAACGGGAGCGGGAGCAGTTGGATGCGGATAAAAAGAAATGAGAGAAGCCGAGTCGAGAGAAGCAACAAGGAGGCCTAATATCGCTGAGGCAGGCGAAGATTTTGAATGAAATGAAGCGCCAGACCCGGCTCCTGGAAGAGCAGTTCAAGAACAACGGGTGCCAAGCTGTGTTTAAAGAGCTCGAAGCCAACCTCAACCGGATCGAGGAAGAGAGGGCGGCGATGCAAGCAGAACGGGGTGGAGTGAGAACGCAGTTGGAATCGATGAAGGCTGCGCTAGAGGCGGTGAAAACGGAGAACAGCGGATTGCAAGACACCATCGCGAGACGAGAGCTGCATCTGCATACGTACAAGTATAGCGCGGTGACCAAGGAAGCTATCGAAGCGTTCACAGAATGGAACGCCGAGATCCGAAATGGTAAGCCGCTTGAGTTTCTGCTTCAGTGTGGTTTGACATTGTATTGACTTCCATTGTCTCTGGATTGAAAAAAAATGTAGGTAACACGAGCACAATGCAGAAGAAGCGCGACTTCAATCTGGGCAAAATGAAGGAGGCGTTTGGATCGAAGACGGCGGACGCTGAAGAGTTCAAGGCGCTTGCGGTCGAGTTCTGGGAGAAAAGAAATGAGTTGGTCCACGACAAGGCATGGACCGTCATCCACTCGATGGACCACGGCAGATACGCGTATGTATGCACGGAGATTATGGAAGCATTGGGCGTGTTGGAGAAAACCATTAATCCTTAGTCTGTGTGCTGCTGCGTAACGATGAATGAATTCACATTTCCAAGTCACCGATGACTTCGAGCGAGTCAACTTTGACTCGAATACGCTTGTTTTATTGATCGCGAAGTCAACATGGACTTGAACCAAGTCGACATTGACTCAAACGTACTAGTTTCAGTAATAGCGAAGTCAACGTCGACTCTGAACGAGTCTACATTGACTCGGTCGACAGCGACCCAACGTTGACTTACAAACCCAAAAAAATAAACTCGGTTTCAGTATGAACCCCCAAAGGGTCGTTTCACTTGAGTTTGTATAGACAGTATCCGAAGCGAAAAATGGCCGACTTTTCAGATGAAGAGGATCGCCAACTCGTTCAGCTCGCGGCGGTGTACGAGAAGACGAATCGACTGGGTGTCAATGAAGAAAGACATGAGGCCGTCAACATGGAGCGCAACCAAACTGCAACACCGAATCAAGACGCTAGCCATAGCCCCAATTGTAGTAATGAGAGCCTTTGTGTCCGTGGTAGCCCCGATCGCGCGCGTACTTAAGTATGCGAGAAGTCATCGGACGGAGGTGTCGACTCACGTCCGCTGGGTAGTACGATGTAGTGAACGTGGGTCACTCTCAGTGGCCACGTCACGTGGCCACTGAGAGTGACATTAACGGAACAATGCATTATCACGAGCATCCGTCGGCCACGTCGACAACAGCTGCCTGGGTTCCCCCCCGGGTGCTTCCTGAGGTAGTAGAGTGCAAAGCTACCCCCTCGTGGGAAGAGCGTGGGCACTAGACAGTGAGTCCTTCAGTACTATGTAGTCGCGACGTGTACAAGCTCGCACAGGGGCGGCAAATGCCTTGGCGGCTACATAACAACGAGCGAAGAAGAGCTATTGGAGACCACGCAACTATAATTTTTTTTAGTCATATGCACAGGTAAGCAAGTGTACAGGTGAACGTAGCCCAACTATCTAAATCAAGGTCCAGCGCAATCCAAACTTGCCCTAGTCCGAGGCGGATCACAAGTTCGCGCCCGAAGAGGGGTTGCCTGCACCCATGTAGAGCAAGGCGCAATAGATCCGATGCCTGAAGACGTTGAGGTGATGCGGGACTGTACAGGAGCCGACGCCAGACGCGGAAAATGTGCAGCGTAGCATCTTTTGGAGCTGGAGGACAGTGTAATGACCTTCAAGTGATCCATATACTGCTATGGCCATCCTACTTTCACATAGCCTTCGCGAAAGTCATGCGAGCCCTTTAAAAAATCCTATCAAGCATCGACCACCTTCAGAGCAATAGCAGGGGTGCTGTTACTCGATGCATGAGCACAACAAGTAATCACCTAGGCAACAGATATACTAGTCAACTCGACATGTAATCTGTTGCAGGATTTCCGTACTGAAAACCTGTTGCTTACGTCCCCTACACCACGCAACAGATAAACCGACTCGGGCATGGATATTTTCAAGTTCAAGGTGAAAATAGCGTTTGAGGAGAGAAAGCAGAGATGAAACCAACGCCCAAGTGCTAGGAGAAGTCGTAGAGGTCGTAGCGTTAGTTTCAGAATCTCCGTCTGCCGCTTAAGCCCTCCTGCTTTAGCTTTCAGCCTTCAGCACTCCGGTCATGGTGAGACTTACAAGCCGCTCCTTCCTTCACCTGACACCTGAAGTGGTGGAGTTCGAAGCAGAGCATCCGTTTTATGCTAAGGTCTTACTGCTAGACTCGGAGGTGGTGACGTTTCGCAGCTTGGAAGGAGGCGAAGGGAAACTGGATCGTGCCGTCGCCGAAGACCACGTGGATCGGGCCAGCGAAGTTTCCCAGGCCGGTCAGATCTCGTTGCTCCGACGACCCGTGTCCGTCAGTTTAGCTGGAGAGGTTCAGTATGGACAAGTGATCTCGGTCGACCAGAGCAGTGTCACGATCCGATCCGGTGGTCATGAATTTGTGGCAGCGGCAGCTGCAGTGTCAGTGGTGCCACCAGTGATTGTTCTGTTGCTTGAAGACGTCGAGTTCAGAAGCGACGAGTGGAGTCCTACTGACCTAGAGGCGATGGAGCAGTCAATTCTGAGTCGGCTGCTCGGTACCGGTGGTAGTTCTGCTTCAAATCAAGTGTCCGAGATACTGGAAGGTCTGATGAGTGAGGAAAATCACCCTAGTGGTGACAAGGTGTGTCAGTGGATCGACCCAAGAACAGGAGAGGAAGCTCATTTTCCACTCCAGCACGCTATAAATATCGCTTTTTACGTCGACGGAGGGGTGTCACCAGTGCCACGCAGCGTAGGCAACTCATTTTGCAAACCACCAACGCCCCAACCGCTTCGGAGCACGTCCGCTTTGTCTCGCGGCTCGGTTCAGGACGTGGAAGAGCTCTTTGACCCGTTTCCAGACGACGATGACTCGCCCCAAGACGAATCGGAACGCGGTGCTGAAGTTGGTCGGGCGAACACTACCACACAACACGTGACAAAACGACAGCAAGAGGTCACGGTTGCCAACGGCGACGATGGCCACGTCCTCTCCAAGCGACAACGAGTTCAAACCGCTATTGATCAAGACGCATTGATTATCGCAAAAATAAGCGACGAACCGGACCTTCTCGAGCGTTTCGTGATGATTAGGAAGGAGGCCAACGTCAAAGCGCAGCCGGCGGAGGGTGGTGGTACCATGCGTACTCACGTACAGAAGCCATCCCCTACGACAAGGGGAAAGAAGTCGTCTAAGTACGCATTTGCACCGTCCGAGGAGCAGGAATTAGTTCACGAGCGCATAACAACGGAGAAGCACAAAGGTAAGTCTGCCAATGTGTTTTGCAGAGGTTTAGTTCGGTCCGAGCACGTGGAGTTCAAAGCCGTACCTGGAATTTGTACGCGGGCCTATGATATTCGTCTCGGTTCTGGTGGTCTTTCGATTCGACACTTTGCAAGACTATCGAGGGATGAGCGGGTGGCTTGGTTGGAGGCCGGTGGTTCAAACTTTGACAATTTGTCCGCAACTGCAAGAATTCTCGGCGGCATCGCCGCCATCGTGCATCGAAGATGTTGTGGACTCTGCCAGGGTTTTTCTCACCTATGCTCGCGAGTTTTGCTGTGCTGAACTGATCGAATTGGTTGAGACCATCGTGAAGTTCGCCGAACACACGCTATCGCAGGTATCGTGGACGCCAAAAGAGATTTCTAGCTTAGTTTTCTGGGTAAATGACGTTCTCGAGGATTTTCGTACAGCGGCTGAGGAAGGTGGTGCACTTCGAGCCGTACAGCAACGTTGTATGACCGATGACCGGTTGCTCAAGGATGTGATGTTGATAAAGGTGCATCGGCAAGTGCAGGATGTACGACACGAGATGATGTCGGGACCAGCACGCCTTGAGGGCCACGTTGAACAAGGATCCCAGCTCCGCAACGGCCGCAACCACGACGGTAAGAAGCGATTTGGGCGAATCCCTAAGGAAGTACTTCGCAAATTACCACCCCGCATCAGGAAAGTCGCGACGACTGTGCATGCGTTTTCTCTCAGCGGCGGGTTGTGCGGTGGACAGTGATGGCGGTTGTCCCAGCGAGCATGGGCATTTCGTTCCCAAGCAGCTACCCGCGATCGTGAAAAAAGAGATTGACAGGCGCTTTGGTGGGCTGAAGGACGAGCACAAAGAGTTATGACTCGTTCAGACTGGTCTGGCAATGTATCCATCACGAACGCAAAACGACCGACCGTCGGCGGTGCCATGCAAAGCCGATAGGGTGGCGCGAGGTCAAGTAGCAAACTGCGTTAACACAATCAATTCAAGTGATGGATCTCAGACGGTGTTGGACCAGTCTAGATTACGCGTGCAATCGAGGCCCCCACGCGACTCAATTAGGGTACCCACAACAACGAGCAAGATTGGCGAGGTAATTTGTGCGCAGTCGGCGGGATCTGCGGTAAATCCGACAGCGCCAATGGCTGCTGGTTGCACAGATAGTCGTCAATCGAGGCCTTTTTAAGACACAGAGGCAGACGCAAGGAGCGAGACCGGCAAGGTATCCTGCACCCGGGTAGCTGACTTGCGTTCAAAATCACTTGGGTCGCAGCAGTTGCCGGTGGAGGGTGCAAGCGTTTGTCGGTTGAGGTGTTGCAGTCACGCCCACATTAGTCTGTCATTGGATTCGGCGCGAGAGATTCAATCATGTTTGAAAGCGGATTTACTTCGGGCCGAAGCTCGAATTTCCGTCCTGCACCGCAAACGGGGGTTCGTTAGTGCAAAGCGACCCGCATCTCCTGTCTACGCAGTTGACGAAGTAGCCTGCAAGTCTCTATCCACCGTAATTCGCACGCACAATATGTCCCAGGAAGAAGCTACGCGATTTGTGCGGGGTGAAGATAGCGTAGACAGCAGACCGAACAAAGCCATCGATCGTGTCCGGCTGCGGACCGTTCTTAACGGCTATCAACATCTCGATCTACTCGTTGAAATTGCTCAGAAGGGCATCGACGTGGGGTGGAGACAAGGGCCGAGACCGCGGCGGCCACCACCGAAGAACCATGGTTCCTGCCGACGTTACCTACGTGCTGTCACAAGAAGCATTCGGGATGGCCAAGACTCCGGTCAATATTTGATAGTTGATGCTGATATCATTGAGCGGTGGCCAGAACTAATCTGCAGTCCGCTCGGTGCTGTTGAGAAGAAGGATGTCGACCCGATGAAAGGAAGTGCGCACAATTCACGCCTTATCCTACCCAAAAGACGACTGTGTAAACGCTGCATTTATTGTCGAGTCGGTGCCCAAAGTGAGATACGAGTCAGTGGTAGTTATCGCACGAGTTTAGCAAAAGCAGGGCATGCAGGCCGGATACGCGTCCTCAAGGGAGATGTCAAGAGTGCCTTTCGCCACTTAAGAACACGCGCAAACCAGGTCTTCAGAATGGCGGCATATGTGAAAGAACTCGGCATTCTCGTCGTCGATATGGCGGCACCATTTGGCTGGTCAGGTTCGCCCCCCTGCTACGCACTCTTTGGCCGTGCCATCACGTGGCTAATGGGCAGAAGTTCACCTGCAGCAGTGTCCGACTCGAGCGACACGAACCCATTTTTTCCTTACGAGTGGGTAGATGACTATGTCTTGGTCGAACCGGATGTCCAGAACAGGTTAGAACTCGCTGAAGCTACTTTACGACACGCTATGTTGGCTGTCTTAGGACCCCGTTCGATCAATGAGGCAAATTTTTCGGAATGGAGTGTGGAAATTGTTGTTCTGGGTCTACTATGGAACACCGAGCGCCGCACCGTATCGATACCAGAAGAGAAGATCGCTAAAGCTCGTGCTCGCGCCAGTGCGGTGGAGCAACGCGGCACAGCGTCAAAATCCGAACTGTACAAGCTACTGGGTTCTCTTCGCCACGTGGCTAATTGTCTGCCAACAGCCAAGCCTTTTTACCAACGATTGCAGACACTGTGTACATCAGCACCACGGTTCGGCAGAATTAAACTTACAGCAGGGGCCAAAACAGATCTCGTGTGGTTTCGGCACATTTTAATGCATGGTTGTTTTGCTGAATTACCGCTTGCGATGTTTGGCGAGCTGCCGGCACCGCACGTGGAGCTGTATATGGACGCGTCCAACCTCGGGCTAGCCGTGCTTGATCCCGCCTGCGAGTCATATATACAGATCCAGTTTGATGACGAAGAGAAATTGCTCATCGACAAAGTTGGTAGCGGCCATGACGAGTTTTCAATCAACGTCAGGGAACACTTGTGCATTGCCATCGCGTTGTGGTCGTGGGGTTCAAAGTGGAGCGCACAAGCGAACGGACGCACAACTCATGTCAAGTGTTGGAGTGACAATGCCGCAGCTGTGAGTTGGTGCAATCGGATGCACTCCAACAACGCGTTCAGCCAAGAAATAAATCGGGCGATTGGTCTGGCTGAAGTGTATTTCAACCTTCGAGTATCGGCGGATCATATTCCAGGATCGGCCAATTGGATGGCTGATGCAGCTTCGCGAGCTTGGACCGAACCTTACATTGCTCGATGGACTAATTTTTCTTCGTGTTGGGTGCAGACACAAGTTCCACAAGAATGCAGGAAAATTTACATCGACTTCTCGAATCCTCTTCAGTCCGAGTCACTGGCCACGACGTCCAAGATCAAGTATGCAAGCACATGGACACAGTGGTGTAGATGGTGTGAGCGGCTTCAATTCGCAAAATGGCTGCCAGAAGACCGCCGGCAACATTCGTACCAGCTCACCCTTTCGCCACGTACTGCTGGAAATATGGCTGGGGAAAATCGGGATCGGGGAATTCTGCCTCGACCGTGCTCTCTAAAGTCAGCCATATTGCGTGGCATCATAGGCGAACCCTTGGTTACAATGTCGGCTTTTTGCCCGGCCACCAACTCGCTATCACCGGAATGCGGCGGAAAGACCCATCAAGCAAGCCAAAATCTCCCGTTACAAGCGCAATCCTCAAGTGCCTGCATGAGCTCCTCGATTTCGCAGTTACCCAGCACCGGGTGATTTGGGGGGCTTCAGTGCTGGGCTTCGTCTTTCTTTTGAGAAGATCCGAATATTTGGCTCAAGGTTCAAGGATGCACAACTGCGCAATTCGGAGAGCGGACGTCAACTTTGTGGATGCTAGAGGCCACGAGACCCGAAACCTTCATGATATGACTTCGGTGATTCTACAATTTCGAGGGAGTAAATCCGACCAATTTGGCAAGGGTACTTCTCGAGAATTGGTGAGATCTGGGCATCGGTGGTGTTGCCCTGTACTAGCAGCATGGTACCTAGTTCGTCACCACGAGGCGCTTCGTATTGATGCGGGCGAGTTACTGTGCAAGGTGGATGCATCTCACAATTTGCAAGTATCCGACGTGGTAAGAGCGATAAAGGCTGCTGCTGGTCGAGCTGGCCATAATCCGCAAGACTACGCCTCGCACTCCCTTCGAAGTGGCGGCGCTACGGCGCTGTTTATTGCTGGTTTTGATAGTCTGGCAGTGAAGCTGTTTGGGAGATGGAAGTCCGACGCAGTCGAACGATACACGCGCATAAGTGGGCAGTTGACATCGCGGATGGCGTCGCAAATGCTGCAGAAGCCCGCATTGCATCAAGTTTAGGGGCATCCCCCACGCCCGGATACCCCGGCAGTGGTGGTGCTACAATGCAACTTCGTCATCATTGTGCCGCGTTTGGCACGTCCCCAGAATCGTGAGCGACTTCGACTGAAAACAGATTTTCCGCTGATTTGCCCGCAACAGATGAACCAGTAAATTAGCAACAGATAATAATTACTCCTCGCCATAAATTGACGCAGTACGATGACAAATATTTTGCAGTTTTGGTCGGCATGACTTTGACTGCAGAGTCTGTGGTGCGCCCACGGATTTCCCTCGTGCAGTTGTACTGACTTCGGTACATGAACAGATCTCTGATTCAGTGGGAGTAATGGAGATTTGGAAGTCAGCGATGTTCATGAGGGAAACCCTAGTTGTAAGTCAATTGGCCTACAATACCGTAAGGCAAAGAGAAGAACGGAGTTGCTGAATCCGGCGGGAGAGTTTGTGGCAAGTTGTAAGAAGGAAGCTGCGAGCGTGAGGGCACATGGTAATGTTGGCTACGGTTCAGTTGTACTATTCGCGGACTCAGTGGGAGAAATAAGGACAGTGTGTTCGCTATGAGTAGTGACACTGGTTGAGCAGCAATGTTGTGCCGGCATGAGAAGCTTGGATCCGATTTGAATTGCGGATTCATTATCTTTTGCGTAAAGTAGGGTGACGGATCGCTGCAGGCAGTCTCAATACAGGTTGCGAAAGGAATTGTGCGCAAAGCTCGAGTTGCTTTGCATTCGTCCATCAAGTTGCACTGAGAGAGTGGATGGAGTAGTCCAGTGGGAGTGCTGACTGTGCTCAACAAGAGCGTGCAGGTTGGAAGTGAGAGTAATGCGGAGAATTCCAGGAAGCGCTTGACGCGGTTTAAGATTGAGTCTATTCAGTCAGATTGGTCCCCGAGCTGGTTCGAATGGAAGGCAGAGCTTTGTGTAGCGCACCGAGAGTGCGGCACGAGGAGATGTATGTCTAAGTGGGAGTGCTGTCGAGCGAATGAAGTTAATATCCGAGCGGTGTACGACTTCACGACAGTCTAATGCAGTGGATGAGCAATCCGTGGCGTATGGCAAAGGATCGGTGTGATGGTAAACTAGATGCGTTCTAGATCAAGGTAGTACCCGAGGGCGGTTACACGTTACTTGATGGTGCTACCGAGCGCGAGGACTCCAATCAGATATGCCAGGGCAAAATGTGGTGTGCTGCAGAGGCAGACAATGCCAATGTGTTCCGAGTTGGCGATAAACTTTGGTTTATGAGCACGGATTGGATGGAGTGAGAAACAGTCGCATTCTATACTCGACTCACCGAGTGTGAATTGATGAGCGACTAGGTGCAAAGAACATCTAGACGGCTGCGGTCGTGTGCGATGGCCGAGGCTATTGTTCATAGTTGTGAGCGGTTGGCACAAGTTTGGTTGGCAGATGCGTCGGACAACTTGGACGTCACGTTACCTCCGAATGAATACGGTCGATGTGTCGTGCTTGCGGATGCAAATACCTTGTGAATTGGGGGTAGCTGTGGTGCGATCAGAGCGACAAGGTGAATGGTGTTGCTTCGAGTTTCCGGCTCGAGTTGTCCGAAACGGAGGAAGCCAGCTGCGGGCTGATGGTGTTGAATGGACGCTGTTGGGTTGGCTGCGTGCTAGCGACCAGCGGTTTGATGGTGATATCGGCTGCGTGCTGGTATGTTTGGTGTGTTTGATGAAATCCTAGCTGAGGCTACGGTGGTAAGTTTTTTATTTTTGTCCTGGAGCGTGTGCGCTTGGGATGGCGAGTACTTTGGCAAATGTGGTTTGACCAAGTACGTGTTGTGCATCCTAAGTTAAGTGGGAGTACGAGAAATCGAGTGTGATTTCGAGGATAGCTTAGTCTGCAGCAGCTGTGTGTTGGCTGTGACAGAGTAATGAAGTGGTGGTTGAGGACCATGGCTACTCGAAGGGACCCGAGGGTTTCTGAGAATGACTCCTGCATGCGTGCAGTTGTTGTGATTGGCTGAGGCCAATGTAGTCAGGAAGAGTCCACGGGGTTTTACTGCTTGCGGAGCTTTCCCCTGCAACAACACTTGAAGTAATAAACACATCCCAATTTGACCCACACCAAGCAAGTCGCTCCTGTTTTATGATCAATCTACTTGTAGCTGTGTTACTGAAGCTCTCCTGCTCCTCGATGCGGTCGACGGGCAGGATTCCAATGTGCTCCATGGGACTGAGAGTCTCGTAAGAGCGTCCCAAACCGCCTCTTTCGCCGAATCGTAAACCAAAGCTGAGCGCAAACTTTTCGAGGCAATGCCCGTGTCTCCGTGCATTAACGTGAGGAGTCTCCTTGCGGCCGATCCTTTCCTCACGGTGGTGTGTTTGACTTTGAACACCAGAGTAGCTGCCGGACTTGCGTGATTCTGCTTCAGCTTGCCAACAATTATCACTGCTGCTTGGCTCAGACCGCTGCTAGCTTCTACACTTTTAGATGTTGCCTTAGGTCTGCACCGCCATGGCATTCGAAGCCGCGACTTAGAATAGTCGTGCGTTGCTGGCCTGCTCCGGGCAATTTCATTGATGAAAGAGACGCTCTCATCTGTAAGTGGAAGCGGGAAGGGCGCGAAGACTCGCATGCGATACCCACGCGTATTCGACAGATCGGGGTCCTCAAAACGTTGCGTACCATCTTGGGAAGGTCTTGAAGGTAGTTAAAGCTGAGCATACCAAATGTCATACATGTGTACCACACCAATTTACCCTATAATAGCATCGGGTGCCGGAAGTGAGGGCGAGGTCTGTAAAAACAACCTAACAAACTCTTGTTGTATAAATTTCAGGTGTGGATTTTAGACGTGAAGTTACCGTAGTACATGTATCTAGAACGGATAGGCACTGTTCAGCTTCTCCTGGAAGACGCCGTCCTTCATGGGCATCTTCAGCAGCGCCACGTTAAACGGCGTGTGGTCCCAGTCCGTGTTACTGAGCGAATCGCGAGTCGGTGCCGGCAGCTGGTCCCAAGTGATGACGTCCTGGAACTCGCCGATTTCCTCCGTGTACTCGACGGCCGTGCAGCGCACGTCGCGGTTGAAGTAGTACGCGACCTTGAGGTTGTTTCCGTCCAGGTACTTCCTGTTGCGAGGCACCTCCTTCGCCCAGCCCACAGCAGCCGACAGAGACGTCCCCAGAATAGTCGAGTTCGTGGACGACACGCTGTCCAGCCACACGATGGCGTACTCCCAACCATTGCGGTGGCCGAAGGGAAGGAGCGGAGCACGACCCATCGGGAAGTACCAGGCGTACATGATGGCGAATTTGCCCTTGACCCACGACGAACGCGCGTAGACCTGCGAGCCCAGAGGGGAGCCCTTACACTCGGCATTGTCCGTGGGGCTGCTCCACTCGAGGCCGCCGCTGATGTCTCCGTTCTTCTGGACGGCAGGGTACGGGTGGCACCCCTCCTTGATTTTCAGGTGGGGCTTGTACTTGAGCATGGTCTTGTGAAGGTCCGTGACGGGCGCAGGCTGCGCGAATGGGTGCACCTCGTCGTAAGGGATCACGTTGCCGGCTTGGGCAGCGGCGAAAGACGCCACGACAGCGATGAGGACGGCGCGGAAGTTCATGGCCCGATGGTTTAGAGCCGAGTTCGAAGTGGCGAACCGTGCACCAGGGGGGAGATTGAAGAATGAGACAAGTGGTGGGGAGCTATCGGGGAGAACCATAGCAGAGCGTCCGATTAAGGATCCGATTCGGGACGCTTAACCATCATCGCGCCTTGGGCGCAGACAGGAAGATGATCATCCTTTTGGCTGGGGAATGTACGGTTCGGTCACCTGGTATTGCTGTACCCACCTGAATTTCAGGTGCGCTGCTGGCCCACCACTGAAGGATTTTCAGGCTGAAAATGCTTCAGTGGTGGCCAGCAGCGCAATACATCTGTACATGAATCTCCAGTAATCTCGATGTGCGTAGGTACATGTACCGTACATGTACAGTATACAGTAGCATCATGCTACGATACCTAGCATGTCACAATTTTTTTTATTAAAATTGTGTCTCCAGGACCCGGTTGCTTACCGGTACATTTTTAAATGTACCAATTTTAAAAAATATTATTATGGTGGCGGCGTTGGTGTTGCCACAGCTACTGGTCTGTGTCAGCACTGTCAACATCAATATCTGTGCGCCATCCTGCCCTTGACCCTACCGATTGGGTTGCAAAGTTGTACTTCAGAAAAGTACTCCCCAAGTTGCACACGACACCCTTCTTGTACAATACCTAAGTAAGCTGGCGCCTCCTGTCTGTGCTTGACATTTTATACGCACTTGACTCCTACGAAGTGAACGCCACTTGGTCTTCCTCGTCTACTGTACACACTAGCCGAGCGCCGCCGCTACGCGGCGGTGGTTTTAGTTTTGGTCCAAGTTGTGTGGCTTCCCCGCCTCCCGGGCAAAAGCTGCATACAATAACCAAGTCTAAAATTTCAACCGTGGTGAGACTCGAACTCACACATGCACTCAGCGGTTCAACCACTGGGCTGATTAGAGCTTAAATAATTGGCGTTCGATTTAACGTGTGTATGTAGTACTCTGGAAGTCTCAATCACACATAACTAAACCCTTTAAATATTTAAACTTAACACGCTATATATTTTTAAGCAAAACCAAGTACCCAGCATGCAACCTTATACTCACGTACACCTACTTGCTCAAGCCTAAGCTAAAAATCGCTGAAATGCAAACGATACGACGGTTAGTGTGAATGTGTGCACACGCATCATACACACACGTATTCTTAGCATTCACAAAAAGAAACTTATAACCAAAACGAAGTGTCAAATATGCACGTCATACACACTACAATGCACTTGCCCAGTGCTGACTCACTACTCGTTGTAATGCAAAAGATATAGCAATTAATCAAAATCTATCCACACACATACCTCACACACTTACTGACTTACTCAATGAGTAGTGATACATGAGTAGGTTGTGAGGCTCGAACTGTAATGTGCCTACCTTGGCTCACTACTTTAGCTTACACGTGTGTGCGTGTATGTGAGGAAGCGTAGCTTACTTTAAATTAGAGTTAATTATACTCGGGCCTCCGAGTATAGATTAATCTAAATAAGCGATCCAAATAATGTTTTTGGGTTAAAATGAGAACTGCTATTTTGTTTTATGTTTCTGACTTCCTCTAAACGTAATATTCTAAGATAGAAATCTGTCAACGGCTGGTTGGCAGAATTCCAATGCTATGCATGTCGCTCATTGGCTAAGAGATGCTGCTCTCAGCCAATAGGAATCCTAAGTCTCTATGGACCACCCGTCGTGGTGATCGTAAATGTATGTAGCCTTTGGTGTGTCTACACCAAAGTCGAGAAAGTCTTTCGAACCTCTAACAGACGTCGTGTCTGTTAGATTTACAAGTGACTGTAGTCACTTGTGCGTGTAACCCTGTTACACCATCCCCCCGTCAAGGTTAGACGCGCCGAGTCACGGCACGTCAATCAGGAAATTGACCATTCGTCAATTCTTCACGTTGGGAGAAAGAAACTCGAGCTCATTCCGCAATGAGCTCGCCGCAGAAGAAGACCGCCGCTGAAGCAGAGGGGAACACCTCCGCCGCGATAGAGACTCTCTCTATCCCCGAGTACCTCGAGCGCCACAAAGCAAAGCGTGACGCGCTTGCTGACAAGGCTGCGGCGGGGACAACTCAACCGGAGATTGTCCTCGAAGGTTCCTCTGTAGTCAACGACGCCGTTGACTACGGGAGTGACGACGAAGAGATGGAAGAGGGCGAGGCCTCTTCCGACAAGCGCAAGGAGTCTATCGACAGTGATAGTCTCGACCCGCATGCCGGGTCGAGACGCCCTCGTGAAGGAGACGATTCGGACGCTTCAAGCTCGAAGCATTCGCGCGGCAAGAGCGAAACTCCGCTCTCCGCTGCTGGGGCCTTAAGCTCCCCGAGTGAGGTGGCGTCTTCAAGTTCTCCGCGCGCTGCTCAGGCAGCGCGCGATCCGTGGATGCCGTCTGCGTCAGAGATCGCAGACCGTGTGGGCAACACCATGCCTCCAAATGAAATTCCGCTGTACGTATGCAGCGGGATCCACGAAGATGCTGTGGCGGAGGAGCAGCACTTTGATCCGTTAACGAATCAAAGGCGCGACTACTACATCGGGCTCTTCCACGAGCTCCGGTACTTCTCCAGCAAGAAGACCTCTTCTCGCAGCAAAGTGCCTGAGTGGCAGGCACTTTGTCAAAGTTGGAATGCTTTTGTTGAGAACTTCAACAAGAAGCCGGCTGCTTACCGTGAGCGGGTTAAGCACGCCCGTGAACGCTTCGAGACATTCTCGACGCGCGGGAGGTTGGAGCAGCTCCACAGATCTTCTGTGGACGCTGGTATTCCATGCGCTGTGCCCGAAGGCCAACAGTGCACGTTGTGTCTTCCGGGTGCGGCGCGCTTGAGCGACCGCGACCTAAACGGGTACACGACGATTCGTGTACCTGAGAGTCTCAAGGATCTCCGTGCCAAGTTCTTGGCACGTGAGGAACGCGACGATCGTGGGGCCTCGGGCGCTGTAGGTGACCACAGCGCTCGCACTACCTTCGCGTCGGCAGTGCGTGGTGAGCTTCGTACGCCCTCACCATTTCCGGAACGTCCTGCAGCAGGACGTCCCGCGACTCCCATGTATCTTGGTGGGGCGGAAACCCTCTCCAACGAATACGATAACAAACCGGCTGCCGGTTCGTTTTCGGGATACTATGGTTCACAATACACTCACAATACGCTCAACAATCCAGCGTGTTGAGCCGCGGGCGTCGCGGATCGGAGGCGGCGGTGGTGGGAACACGCTCCGGGTATCGTCAACCTGGGGTTGACCTTGGCCCGACGCTCGAGGAGCGGGTCGCTGCTGTGGTGCAGCTTCAGAGCCGTGAGTTCGCCGCTCTGAAGCAGAGGATGGCGACCTGATAGCTCAAGTTGCTCAGGCCTCGCAGACCGCGTCGGACATCTCTGTCGACGTGGGAGGTCGCGTCGTGCGCTTGGCCCAGCGCGTTCACGCGCTGGGGCAGAGGTTCGCTCCCGCTGGGGCTTCCGCTTCGGGCCAGCCGAGCTAGGTAGCTCGTACTGCAGGTATGGCTTCAGCCGTCCGACGTAGAACGTTGGATGGAGGCGCATGCTAGATGGAATATCTAGCGTGTAGGCGTTGCCATGCCGTGCCAACACAGTGAACGGCCCGATGAAGCGCGGAGCGAGCTTGCTCGCCCCGAAGTCGGAAACGGCATGTTTAGGCAGGTTTTGAGTTGCTAACAAAACCAATGAACCCTTCTTGAATTCATTAGTGTTGCCCCTACCAACATTGTCTGCGTTCAGCTTCAGTCGGTCGACAGAAGCTGCAATAGCGTCTTGGACAAACCGAATGACGGCTTGTCTGCGCTGCACGAAGTTGATTGCGTCCGAGCTGAACTCGTTCAGCTCGTTTCTAGCAGTAGGCCCGGCCTCTGCGTTCGTCTTCGCGGTGTCTGTGCCCTGCACAGACCCGTTCTTCTTCTTCTTCTTGCTCTTGTCGGCGTCTGTGCCCTGCACAGACGCGTGCTTCTTCTTCTTCTTGCGCGTAGTCGCGGCTGACACTGTGCAAGTGTCAGCGGCATTCTGCGGCTGCTGCGTTGCAGTCGTAGATCCTCCCCCATTTAAGGAAGGAGCCACCATCTCGAGTAGACTCGGGAGGCGTGGGTGCCTGATGGCATTCACGTAGAACGGTGTATGCCCGGTCGAGGCATGCACTGAGTTGTTGATGGCGAACTCCGCCATCGGCAGACACTCGCTCCAGTGTTGGAACGAGTGAGCGTAGCTCTTAAGCACGACTACGAGCACGCGGTTCACGCGCTCGGTCTGCCCGTCCGTCTGCGGATGGTCCGCAGTCGACATCGAAAGTTGACTCCCAAGAAGTGTAAACACTTCTTGCCAAAGGTGTGCAGTGAAGCGCGGGTCCCGATCCGACACAATGTCGTTCGGCATACCATGGTGTTTGAACACCATGTCAACGAACAGACGCGCCGTCTGCTTCGCAGTCACTTCAGCGGGAACAGCAGCAAGATGTACCATCTTGCTGAAGCGGTCAACAAAGACCACAACGCCCGTGTTCCCCTGGCTGTCCGGGGAAAGACCGAACACGGAGTCCAAAGACATGGACTGCCAACACTCTCGTGGAGTTGGCAGTGACTGCAAGGGAGCCTGCGCGAAAGGCGCAGGCTTCACACGTTGACAAACCTCGCAAGCACGGACGTACTTGCGCACCCATTTATACTAATGGGCCCAGTAGAAGTCTCGCGTGAGAAGAAGGTATGTCTTCTCACGGCCCGGATGCCCCGCAGTCGGTGCATCGTGATACTCGTACATGATCCTGAGTCGCAGGTCATGGTCATTGGGCACGACAACGCGGTCCGCGTTGTCGTCGACTGCACGGTAGAGTAATAACCCGTCGTGCACCCGGTAACGGTGTGCACGAGCACGAAGATGCTTCGGCAGCTTCTGACGAGCTTTGTCAGAAGGTGCTGAGCCGTAGGCCAGCAAGAGCTTCGCGTCCGCGTCGTGCGCGAACGCGACCTTCACGTCGTCCAT